TGTTGGTCCGTGCGTAGCTGTTTGCTTGTAGCGTCCAGCTGTGTCCCACCTCGGGGCTGGTTGCTTCGCCGCCTAGCGATGAGCTCGTCGCCCGCCTGCCGTTCAGTCAGTTAGTGCATGCGCCTGACTTATTTGGTCGTGGTGTGTTGCTGTTGTGTTTGTGTTGGCCGCATTTTGCCCTTTCTCAGCTAAAGCTGTCATTTTGTTCTGTGCTTACATCACTCGGACGAGTTGTGTTGCTAACGACCTGTCACCGATTTACCCGAGCCCGCTGTATGCTAGAGTATGATTAGTGCGGGGATGTCTGTGGGTATATCTCGGCCGACAAAGGCTGCCCCAGTTCCGTCACTGACGGTGAGCAGTGGCGACCGCCTGGCGCTGTTACCGCCGGGTGGACCCGTCCTGCCGGGTGCTGTTACCGCCGGGTGGGTCCGTCTCGTCGGGTGTTTTTACCGCTGGGTGGGCCCGTCCCGCCGGGTGCGGTTACCGCTGGATGGGCCCCGTCCCGCCGGGCCTCGCTAACGGTGCCGCCCGGTGATCGCGCGCGAGCGCGTGGACCCCGGGGAGACGCCGGCCGGCCGGCGCTCTCACTCATCTGGCGTCACGACCGCGCCGGCCGATGGGATGGGAGACCGAGAGGAGCCGGCGTCCGAGCCGGCGCTGCGGTCCGCCCCGCGGCCCAGGGGTGCGGGGCCGCCCTCTGCGCTGGCTTCCAAAGCCGTAGGCGCCCCCTCCCCGTGGCTATCAGCGGAGGAGCTGAATCCCGGTACGCTGTGGGTTTTGGGATACTCATGTGGTCGGGTGGCGGCTGAGCCCGGTTTGCGTGACGAAAACTGCACCACTGACCTTCTCTAAGGGACCATGTGGCCCTAATAACCCTTTGAAATGGCTGTGTGTGGGGGGTGGGGGCTGGTTACCCCGGAATATCGGTCATTAGGGGTTGTGAGTAGATGGCTGTTTACAAATCCTTTGCCATCTCTAAACCGTTTGTGCCGTTTCCTCCGTCCACTTCCCATTCACCATTTCATTGTCCTAACGGCGAATGTCTTGAGCCGCAAAGACGCATGTTTAACGTTGAGAATCAAAACGGAGATGCATGCGCGCTGCACATGTTCATGAACCCTGCTCTTGCGTCGAGCCGGTGTCTGATGCCTTTCGTCCGTAGACGTGGCCCTAGCACTGTGCAGTGCGTCGTCCTGTTATGTCGCCTGTCTCTGTACGTGGTCCGCGTGTTGTGTCTGTGCCGCCCGCCGCACCCGCCTGGCTTATCGGACCGGCGCGCGCGGCCGTCCCGCCCCGCCGCCGGCCGCTGCGCAGCTCGCTTGCCCGGCGCCGCGCGGGGTCCGCTAACCTGCGCAGTCGGCTAACCGCGCGGGGTGTGCGTTCAGCTGCTGCGTCGGCGCCTGCAGCGGCACGTGGAGCCGGCACCGCCGCCGCCGCCGCCGCCGCTGCCGCCGGCCGAGTCGCGCAACAGCGTACGTGTTCGGCCGCCGCCGCTCGACGGTCGGCCCGGCCGTCCGGTGTGCCGCCGCGGCTCTCGTTCGTCATGGTGGGGTGTCTTGGGCGGGAACGGAGGGGCGAGTGCACTGAGTTAGGTGTTGGTGGACGGCGGTGGCCCAGCTCACTGGCCGCCCGGGGTCATGGTTATAGAGAGATGGAGAAGGTAGTGGCGACGGTGTGTTCGTTAGCGTGGGCGTGGAGTGGGAGCTGGGCGTGCGGCGGAGGCGGTGTCACTTAGGGTGGAGAGGGGGAGTCATGATTGGGGAACCTTCCGCTGGAACCAAAGTTAGACTTTCCTCTGTATTTCACCTAGATTATGTGCAAAACGGGGAACGTGGTGTAGATTTATTGTCTCAAAATGTGTTGGGTGTCGCGGCAGATAACTGATTATTTTGTCAACCTCGCGAATATCTAGAAGGCGACGCCATTTATAAACAGCGAAAGAGACCGAGTGGGCGGGGGGGGGGGGGGCAGCCGTCCAGCGGACCTGGGCAACCAGTCCGTGCAGGCCCTGCGCCGTGCCCCTCCCCCGCGCCTCACGCTGCCGCGCCGCTGCCCCGCTGCCCCGCTGCCCGCCGTCCCGCTGTCCGCTGACGCCGCGCCCGGTGCCGGCAGCTGGTGGCGCGCGGCCGGCTGCAGCGCGCCACCCAGCGTAGCTCGTCGCGCAGCTACCCGCCCAGCGCCGGCGACGAGCGGCTGCGGCTGGAGTCGGCCGACGGCGCGCCGCCGGCCGCCAAGGGCGCCGCCGCGCCGCCGTCGGACGTGACGCAGGCCGCCACCGACGAGGTGAGTGCCGCCAGCGAGCAGGTCAGCTCAGTTCAGCTCAGCTCAGCTCAGCTCAGCTCAGCTCAGCTCAGCTCACTTCAGTTGAGCTCATCTCAGCTCAGCTCAGCACAGATCGGATCAGCTCAGATCACATCAGATCAGCTCAGATCACATCAGGTCAGCTCAGCACAGATCAGATCAGATCAGATCAGGTCAGATGAGATCAGGTTAGCTCAGCTCAGGCTAGATCAGTTCAGTTCAGCTCAGCTCAGCTCAGCTGAAGTTAGATCAGTTCAGGTCAGCTCAGCTGAGGTTAGATCAGTTCAGGTCAGCTCAGCTCAGCTCAGCTCAGCTCAGCTCAGCTCAGCTCAGCTCAGCTCAGGTTAGATCAGTTTAGGTCAGCTCAGCTCAGCCCAGCCCAGTCCAGCTCAGCTCAGGTTAGATCAGTTCAGGTCAGCTCAGCTCAGCTCAGCTCAGCTCATCTCAGGTTAGATCAGTTCAGGTCAGCTCAGCTCAGCTCAGCTCAGCTCAGCTCAAGTTAGATCAGGTCAGTCAGGTCAGGTCGGTCAGGTTGGCTTGCGAGCGAGTTCGGAATCCGAAGGAGTAGGCTTGGTCGTTGATGTTGGGGGGGGGGGGGGGCGTACAAATAGGCGAAGTCACAGAGAAGACGGAATTGGTGAGCAGCGACGGGGTTACCTTCTAAGCAGTGTCGGAGACGATGTGCTCGCGGCTCGGGCTCATTTTTATCATCGCTCGGGCACAAATCGTGCCAGACGCTTGCAACGGACGTCTCCGCACTGTGAATCCCACGTCTTCTCCGCCTTTGTCGTCATCGTCATGGTCACGACGCCCCCCATTTGGCGTCGACTCGGTCGAACTGGCCAGTGCTGGACCTGATTGGCACCCGGTTTACGTTCAGTTCAGGTTGTTTTATTGCGGTGACATCCGCGAACGCTTCCGGGTTTTCACGAAGTTCAGTTAAGTTCCAAAAGAACATACACTATGCTCAGCTGATCTCCTCGTAGCAGGGGATGAACTGGACCCGTCTTAAAGTGTAGCACGTGCCGAGTGTTTGACGGGCGGTTGAACACTGTCGCAGCGTGTTGGCTGAGTTTCCACTTGCCGGCGTTGGTCCTGGGTGGAGTCACTCGAGCTTTCCGCTCCGTCGAGTGGTGTAATTTTTCTGGATGGCCTGTAATAACGCTCGCAAATATGTTGTCCTGCGTGTAGTAAGGACTTGCTATGGGTTCTTTGGTGATTTTCTAGTAAGTTGAAAGCTGACAAATGCCTGAACGTATTCTTGCCTCCGAAATTATGTCACATTTATTGTTGCTCGCAGTGACTGCAGTGCAAAATCTGACCAGTTGTTCAAAACTCTGTGATATAAAAATCTGGCCACCTTTGTAGCAGGACAAGTCATTTGCTGGCGCATGTTTCGTAAAGGGGTATCCAGGTGCAGACTAAAAACATACAGAGTCATTTCACCACTTGCTGCACACAGTGCGAAACGAGGTGGCTGGGGTGAGTGGGGCTGATTCAGCGCATGCACTCCGCAGTCATCGGTCATTGGGCCATTGAGAGGCAAGGCGTCTGACAATCGTGAGACACAGGCACTCAGCGGGCCGGATTCTAGTAATTGTCGATGCCGCAGTGCGGACGGTACTTCTGGGAACACCAAGAAGGTTTCGTTCCGAGTGCCAGAAGTGGAGTTTTTGCCGCGCTGATTGCCGTTTTATCCAGTTACACCAGGTAACAAGTTCGGCGAGCGCGCTGTTGAAGTCAGTCACGATATCCACCAGCCGCTCTCTGCGGTCACAAGCGATCATTGGTGCGTTATGTGAGCAGCTGGACAAACCACCGCACCATCGCCCATCTACAGGATCATCTCGCCCGGGAACACGGCTCGACACACGTCCCCGACGGGCGCGGGGTGGGATTCCCGGTCGTTGTGGGATGGCCAGCCAGGCCGTGGCCGTCAGCGCCAGCGCCAGCGCCAGCGACACTGTCGTCAAGTGCCGACTGTTACGTGGCGTCCGCGCCGCGCTCGGGGTGGTTGGAGACGCGGCTGTCCGACCCGGCTGTGATTGGAGCGTGCTGAGCGAATTGACACGGGTCATGGGGTCACAGACCTGCCATAAATACTCCGGCAGTGGATGTTTGTGAGAGGTTTGGCGATGCTCCCGGTTCTCCCGGCCTGAACGGTCCCGGTGTCGTCAGACGACCCCCGCCGTCCGTCGCTGTGCTGCTGTCAGCCGGCCGGTCGGCGGGGTGTGGTTCGGGCGCGGCCACTGCCATCAGTCAACGCTTCCACTGCCGATGCTGCGCTCCCTCCGATGCCGCGCGTCCCTCCGGTGCTGCGCCTCCCTCTGATGCCGCGTCTCTCTCCGATGCTGCGCCTCCCTCCGATGCCGCGCTGCCTCAGATGCCGCGACTGCCTCCGAGGCCGCGCCTCCCTCCGATTCCGCGCCTCCCTCCGATGCCGCGCCTACTTCCGATGCCGCGCTCCCTCCGAGGCCGCGCCTCCCTCCGATGCCGCGCTCCCTCCGATGCCGCGCTCCCTCCGGTACCACGCTCCCTCTGAGGCCGCGCCTCCTTCCGATGCCACGCCTGCCTCCGATGCCACGCCTGCCTCCGATGCCACGTCTCCCTCCGATGCCGTGCCCCCCCCCCCCCCCCGCGATGCCGTGCCTCCCCCGAGGCCGGTTGCGCTGACCTGCGTCACCCCGTCTCGGCAGGTGTTCTTCGACAACGTGCCGTCGGCGGCGGACGGAGCCGGCGACATCCGGGACCCGCTGCGGGACAGCCGGGACAGGTGAGCATGGGCCGGGACCGGTGAGCACGACCGGGACAGGTGAGCACGACCGGGACAGGCGAACATAGCCGGGGCAAGTGAGCACAGCCGGAATAGGTGAGCATGCGCTAGGACAGGTGAGCAAAACAGGGGAGAGTACATGCGGCGACAAGAACTTTCAAACGAGTCAGGTGGGCACTGCCCAGACAGCCGAACTGAGATGTGATTATCGTAAGTGTCCCGTGCAAAAACTGTGCGGCCTGTCTGAGGCGAACAGTTCACGAATGTTCACCGTCTTATCACTCACCACGGGAGGCCATGTGCAGGAGGTTGATCACCGTTTCTAGGGATAATTGGCGTCATTCACTGGCAAGAGCTTTGCGTCAGTCTCGTGGTTATTCATTGGGCTTGACGAGTTCCTAGACTTTCTGGCAGTGTGCATCTGCACACTCATAGGCTAGGCTTATCGACGCTGGAAGCCGTGATTTATCACCTGGCTGTCTATAGCCGCTGGCGGAATTTCGGCCGTCAGCGAGCATCGAAGATTTCCCAGAACTCCTTATGGGTCTCTTTATTTTCAACCAGCCAATTTTGGATATTGCGATTTCGATGACGCTTTGCCCTCGCCTTGCGCGGGTTGCGGTCGAGCAGTCTGACCGTCGGGACTGTTTCGTCCCCCCCCCCCCCCCCCCCCCTCCAGTATGCAGACGTTAATCAACTGCACCGGCAGATCGCGTTCTCTGTATCAAGCACCGCGACCCGGGGGCGTGGCGGCGCCAGCTCAGCGGAGCCATCTCAGCGCGCGCCGCCGCCCCGGGTGCCGCTCCGCGCCGCTGAAGCACGCCCTCGAGTTCGCCGAGTGGCGAACTGCGCTCGGCGGCAGGCCAATATTGGGCGGCGAGGCGGCGCCGCCACGCCGCCGTCCCGCCGCCCCGCCGCCCCGCCGCCGCCGCCCCGCCACCGCCACGCCATCGCCGCGCCACCGCTCCACCGCTCCACCGCTCCACCGCCGCTGCGCCTTAATCGAATGGCACGTCCCTGCTGGCGGGCGGCGCCCATCCGTCATGTTCGGCGCGGCCGGCGCTCGCGGTCGGGCCGCTCGTGTCGGCGGCCGCCCCCGGCTGGTTGGCGCGCGCCCCCAGCCGTGGAAGCCAGCGCTCGACGCGTGGGCTGCCTCCCGGGCGATCCACGGCCAGATGAGGCAGGGGACGTTCGCACCGCTTTGATGTGGCGGCCGGTGTTTGATTGTAGCGGGTTTGGATTGCTTCCGCCGCCGCGGCTGGGGAAATCCCACATCGACGGTGTATTCGGGCGGGGCTGCCTCCGCGGGTGCCGGTAGACGTCAGGTGGATGAGTAGGAGGTCCAGTTCGACAAAGTTCGGTCCAAATGGTTAGCGGAGCGCACCGTGCAGCTGGGAGTCTCGCGTTTCACTTGCAACGCCTCTGCCGTGTGGAAGCGCGCCCGTTTTTCATGCCTGGCGTCGCGCAACTCGCAATCTCCGGGCTGTCAACGGCACTTTGAAGACCCCCAGACGTGACGCCACGGCGTTTAATTGTCGGGCGCGCGTGGTTCTAGCCGGCGGCGGATGCTGCTGCCGGTTCGTCACGCAGTGGCCGACAGATCGGCGGACAGGTTTGGCCGCCGCCGCCCTGATTACGGCCGCGAAAATAATCAGCCGTCCGTCGGCACGGCGGCGGCTGTCCCGATGCCGCCCACGTGCCCCCGGACCGGCTGATTGGGGCCGGGCCTTGTCAGCGCTAGGCGTCACGCGCTGGGCCTCACGTGTCATGGTGGGCCGCGCTCGATTCGTCGGTCAAATGGCTGGCCGTGTTTCCATACACGCAGCGGGCGTTCTAGGCGGACTCAAATACAATAGAATACAATGAAATAGGTAGGTAGGCAGGCATGTGTATGTGCATTGTGTTTTTATGCTCTCGTGCTTTGATTCGTGATGTGACGGCTGGGCACGACACGACCTTGTCTACTTCAGCGCACGGTGGGTGGAGCCGCCGCCTGAGCGACACATGTGGCCTGACCTGACATGACCTGACCTGGCCTGCTTCAGCGCCCAGTGGCAGCGGCCGCCGGCTTAGCGACACATATGCCCTGACCTGACCTGACCTGACCTGCTTCAGCGCCCGGTGATAGCGGCCGCCGGCCGAGCGACACATATGCCCTGACCTGACCTGATCTGATCTGACCCGTTCCAGCGCCCAGTGGCAGCGACCGCCGGCCGAGCGGGACGTGACGGACGCCGGTCCGGGCGTCGGCCACAAGCGGATTTGGGCGCAGATGCTGGACCGCGTGTTCGACAACAGCAACCGGCGGCACTACGGTCGCGGCCTGGCCGGCAGGTTGTTCGGGTGCGTTGATGACGTCAGACGTGATATGACGTCACGCCACGGGATGTGGTGTGTCGCGCGTCGCCGGCATGGGGGGGGGAGGGCAGTGTCCGGGCCGTGGGATGCGGGGTGCGTCACGTGGTGCAGAGCTTGTGGCGTCTTGTTAACGTGGTGAAAGCAGTGCGCTGGTCACGTGGTCAGCGCGGTGTCTGGTATGTGCCCGGGGGCGTGTGTCACGTGATCTTCCAGTCTCGGCTGCATACTGAACGCAGTGCGCCACGTGATCAGTCCGGCTTGCGGCGAGCGTGGCGCAGCGTGACGCCGCGTGACGCCGAGCCTCGCTTGCTGTGGTGTGGCGGGCACCCTGCTGATGTCTCGGCAACCAACGACCGTCGCGGTGACCCGGCCTCGGGATGGCGCGGCCGGCCTGACCTGGCCGCTTCGTGCCGGTCAGTCGGCGGCCCCCCCCCCCCCCACCCCCTCCCCCCCGGCGGTTTGCGCCGGCCGGCCGCGGGCCGACCCGTGCCAGCACCCCCGAGCGGCGCGCCGCCGGCCTGACCTGACCTGACCTGACCCGGCGCGACGCCCGCAGTGGTCGCACGCTGCGCCGATCGGTGGCCGCCCAGTCGGACGTGGCCACCCAGCTGGACGACCTGGAGGACCACCGGCCGTACTTCACCTACTGGGTCACCACCGTGCAGCTGCTGGTCATGGTCATTTCGCTGGCGTGCTACGGCTTCGGGCCCATCGGCTTCGAGCTGCAGCAGCAGAGCGGCAGGGTGAGTGAGCCGGTGCCGGCCGGCGGCGTCGGGGCGGCCTCTGAGCGGTGCTGTGCTGGCTGGGGCCGTGTGTGGGGACTGCAGGGCGTCGGGGCGGCCTCTGTGCGGTGCCGTGCTGGCCGGGGCCGTGTGTGGGGACTGCAGGCTGCTTGTAGGTGCGTGTCCGCTGGTAGCGTTTCGTTGGTTGGAAAGCGCCTGCTGGAAAGTTCGTAAGGGCTGAGTTGAATGCTCGTAGTGGTAGAGTGAGGATAAAGCCCGGAAGCTAGGGTATCAGCAACTGATCATAAAAGTGGGTGATTATTCTCGGTCGTTCCTGTCGACAGTCAGCGTGGTGTAGTACCTTCAGTCCCCGGTAACATGCCCAGCGAGGTGCGCGTGCCTGGACGTGGCCATGGCGCACTCGATTTTACGTCGGTCTGCGGAGCCGGCAACGGGTCACTTGGTGTAATGCAGGCCCAGAGAATCTCCCCACTGAAGCGGCGTTCTGCCGCCGCCGGCGTCGCCAACGTGGGCGACGACGGTGGTGTGGTTGTGCGTGTGTTGCACGCTGGTTAGGCATGCTCGGCCCATGGACTCGGATGGTTGACCTATGGGTTGCTGATGATAGTGATGGTGGTGATGACGATGATGATGATGACGACGACGTGATGATGAGAATGATGATGATGATGATGCGGATGCTGTGAGTGATGATCCTGCCACAAGCGTACGGTTGGCTGACGCCGCCCGCTGTCTGCCGCCAGGTACTGGATATCAGTCTTTCATTGCAACAAGTAGATTATTGGGAGCCGCCCAACCTCTGGCTCGGCCCGCGGGCGGTGAGTGGTCGGCCGTGACGTCACGGCGCCGGCGGCGGCGCGCCTGGTCGGCAGCTGGCTCCCCGGCAGCTGGCTCCTGCAGCACGTCCGGACGCCGGTCTCGGTGCTGAAGGGCATTTCGTTGATGTCTGCTGTTATGTGGTGCGCGCGTGACAGGCCTGCTATTAAGCTTCGGTGTGTTCACGGTGTGTTCACCCCACGGTGCCCGCCCTTCCTGCCAGGGCGACAGGCAGGCGACGCCATATAGCCTCAGCAGCTGAGTGCGTCGTAAAGCCCCGATGACATCGCATGACATGACGGTGTGTTCACCGAAGCAATTTGATGCCAGATGGCTGTGAGCGTTTCGGTTACGTAATCCATGCACGACAGGAAATATCATTTAGCTGATATTTTTTACCGAAACCATCCAATGCGCTGATTTTTCCTTTAGCTTTCCACTGTTTAGGCTGTGATTGGAAAACATGGGCTGTTGAAGAAACCTCTTAGGATGTTTTGCAACCGCTATCATGCGCTATTGTGTCCTGGTTTGTGTCTACCGACCGTTGACTTCAGCTGCGGCTGCCCGCCGTGTCCATCGCCTGACCTACCTGACCTCGTTGACCTCGCTGACCTCGCAGACCGCCCTGACTTCGCTGACCTCCCTGACCCCGCTGAACTCTCTGAACCCGCCGGCCTCCGTGACTCCGCTGAACTCCCTGACCTGCCTGACCTCGCTGACTTCTCGCTGACCTCCCTGACTTCGCTGACCCCGCTGAGTTCGCTGATCTCCCTGGCTTCGCTGACCTCGCTGACCTCTCTGACCTCCCTGACCTCACCTGTCGCCAGGCTGATCTCATCCACCTGGGGGCCAAGTTCGCGCCTTGCATGCGGCGAGACGAGAAGATACAGAGCGAGATCTTCCGCGAGCGGAGGAAGGAGCGGGACACGGCGTGCTGCATCCGGAACGACAACAGCGGCTGCGTCCAGTCGGCGCAGACTGAGTGCAGTGTGAGTGGGGGCGGAGGAGCGTGTGGACGGCGGAGGGGCTGGGGCTCGCCGGCACAAGCTTTGTCTGGCGCGGAATGTGTGTGGGTGGGGTAGGGAGGGGGTGGGAGGGGGTAGCTGTGTGTGCAGTAGTGGTTGCGTACAGTCAGGACACGGGCTGAGTAGATTGTGAGCGAGTTAGGCATGCTTGTAGACATGCTTCAGCGGCTGCGCCCAGGCGGCGCAGGCCAACTGCAGTGAAATCGGACGGGAGTAATGGTTGTTGAGGGAGGGAGGGAGAGGGGGGGGGGGGGGTGCCCTATGACAGCGATTGCGTTCAGGCGGATTATTTTGGTGCAGTATGTGTGTGTATGTTTCATTGTCATCTTCAGAAATTGTGCAAGCGTGTAACGATTCGCACCAACCAGTGTTTATGAATTTACCTGTATGATGTCTTGGGAGCAAAAAGCTGTGTTTGGGGTGAGGATATCTTCTCGCTTGGGGCCGTCTGTCTGTGTTTGGGTGCTGTTCAGTGACAGGACATAACTTTATTGGATGACTGCAATGCCGCGCGTGCGTTTTAAGGCACGCGGGATTTTCTTGGATCCCAAATGATCCGCACAAAGTATGCCTTCTCACGTTTTAACACGAAAAGGGTCAAAATAGCGTTGGTCTTTTACCCCGCTTGGACTTTAGAGACTGAAAGCAGCTAGTGAGCTTGGTGTTTTAGAAGTTGCCACATCAAGCTTCACACTTGACTTCATCTCAGACTGCGGTTCCGGACTTGGACGTTCTGGAGACCTTGATCTGAATATCGTGACATCCTGCTGACAGCTGGTGACAGCTCCCATGGCCGCGTGGCCCTCCGCTCGTCTGGAGCGGGAGCGCGTGCGCGGGTGTCGTCACGGTCCATGGCTGTCGCGGCGCCCGTTCTGCCCCCCCCCCCCCCCGAGCCCGAGTCCGAGCGCACGTGCCGGACGTGTCACGGGCGCGCTGACCGCGGCGCGTCGGCCGACCGCGTCTCGCCCGTTGAATAACCCACCATGCCCGTCTCTGTTCAGCAGCGGACGCCGGGATTTAGAGATCTGGTATGTGGTTTGGCCGCTAAGCCCGGCCGGCCGGTCTGTCGGTCGGTCGGTCGGTCGGCCGGCCCGTCGACTGGTCGGCCTGTCGGTCGGCCGGCCGGTCGGCGGCGGCGGATCTGTGTAGCCTCTGTAGAGAGTGTCGCCCGCGGTCTCTCTGCCCGGGCGCCGGCTCTTCTCGCTCACCGTTACCGCACGGATGTTTGGGCTGGCATCGTGGCGAGCATAGCCGGCCGTCGGTGTCGTGTAGCGTAGTCGGTGTGTGCCCCCCGGGGGCGGCCCTGTGGCTAACTGGCTGTGGAGGGGCAAGCGGGGCCGACGGCGGGCGCACGAGTGGTGTGGTGGGCAGGGTGGAGGGAGTCTGGGTCGGATGGGTGGGTGGAAAGACGTGCCGAGGCAGAAGGTGAGTCGATAGCTCCTGTGGGGCGGAGATACAGGTCGGGAAGGCAGGTGAATAGTTAGGTGACGGGCAGATCGAGAGATGGCCGGCAGGTCAAGTTAGGCCAACTAAGCACGCATCTGGTCAGGGTACGAGAAATTACGTACTTATGTATTCAGTTTACTTTTATTCAGTTTGCCGTGATGAAGGATGTTAGTTGTGAAGGACCTAAAGGCAGATGAGCTTATTGTGGGACGGATCGCTGGTGGCGAGGGGGGAGAGGAATTCGACAGTCACTGTCGAGGGGTGGATACTCCGGCGGGTGCACACCCCACAGCCGTGCATCGTGGGGTGGTGCTCCTCCCTCCCTCTCTGTCTCCGCCCACCGCGTGCGGCCCAGTCGCGTACTGCCCTCACGCTCGAGTGCGTCTCCTCCGAGTGGCGATGAGGTCCTCGTCGTGAGCACGTGACGGCTCGCTGCGCCTCTACCGGGGGGGGGGGGGGGGGAAGGGAGGGGCGGGCCGGCATTGCACCGCACCGACCGCCGAAGCGTCACCGGGCTGACCACCGGGCTGCCAGGCTGGCTCGCCAGCTTTACCACAGCATTTCTTACATATTTTTCTCGCTCTCGCTCTCTCGCGTGCTCTTTCTCTTTTTCTCTCTCTCTCTCTTTCTTCTCCTTTTCTCTCTCCTATTTCTCCTTTTTCTGTCTCTCTTTCCCTTTTTCTCTCTCTCTTTCTCTCGCTTTATCTTTCTCTCTTCCCTGTTTTCTCTCTATATCTCTCTCTCGCTCTCTCTCTCTTTTTCTCTCTCTCTCTCCCTCTCTCTCTCTCTCTCTCTTTTCTCTTCCTCTCCCTCTCTCTCTCTCGCTCTCACAGGCTTTTGCTCCGGCTCTCTCGTCCTCGCTCTCGTTTCGCTCTGGCTCTCTTGCTCTCTCGCTCTCGCTCTCGTCTCGCTCTGGCCCTCGTCTCGCTCTGGCCCTCTCGCTCTCGCTCCCTCTCTCTCTCTCACTCTTTCTCTATTTCTGTCTCTCTGTCTCTCTCGTTCTCACTCTCGATCTCTCGCTCTCTTTCTCGCTCTCGCTCTGGCTCTCTTGCTCTCGCTCTGACTCTCGCTCTCTCTCTCTCTCTCGCTCTCCATTTGTTTTTTCTTGTTTTGTTTTTGTTCATTCCCTCACGCACTGTCCCTGGACTTTCTGGTTGGCCGTTGAGGTTTTCTGTTCCGGCGGTCCACTTTATTAACCTCACGCCTTCATCCCTCTCTCGCATTTTTCCAGGAGGAGCCAATAAACTGGGCGGAACTGAAAAATGTCTTGTGCTCCTCCGTTCCAATTCGTCTGCATCACCTGTGTGAAGGCACATTTCATGTGATCTGCCCCCCAATTTCGCATGGTTTGGGTGTGGGTGTGAATACGTGTGTTCACGCCGGCATGCGCATCTCACTAGGTGGCGCTGATCACTCTCATAGACGCGTCTATCTCGCGACAAGCATGCTGCTCGGCCTGATCGTTCCGGTTGCGCCATCTCTCCAGCGCACGTCTGTGTAACCTCGGTGAAGCCTTGTCTGAATCAAGAGGCATTCCCGATCGATCGTCTCCACGGGCTATTCATCGCCATGTTCTCGTCTGCCGAGACTCCCGTGGCCTCCCATTCAAAGCAGTATGTGCTGCGCGTCAGCGTATTCCGATTCATACATAGTCGTGCCACTTATAACGAGTCGCACACATTCTCAGACAGCTCCGCTAATGCAGGCGGCTGTGCTGGCGCCGTCGCCTGACCTCGTCGCTGCAGGGCGCCGTGTCTGGCCGTCGGGCCTGCCGCGGGGAGCCCCACACTATCAGGGGGCTGGGGCCGGCGCGTGCGTGAGCGCGCGCGCACCCTCCGCGACCGTGCGGTGGACCACGTCCTGTGGTGCGCTCGCTGCTCATCGGCCGCTCACCGGTCGCTCGCCGCCCGCTCACCGGCCGCTCACGGCTCGCTCGCCGCCCGCGGACCACTCTCTCACCGGCCGCTCACCGCCCGCTCACCGCCCGTTCTGTGTCGTTGCAGAAGACGATCAGCACGTTCAAGGCGTGGCAGGGCGGCCGCGGGCCGGACGGGCGCGTGTCGGGCTCCGTCTGTGGCCTGGACCCGCAGTGAGTGACCGGGCCGTGCCCCGACGGCGCGCGGCGGCGCTGCTGCCTGTCGTGGCCCGCTGAGGCTGCGAGGATCGCCGAGCGCTTGCTAGTCGAGTCACTCGTAGGGCGGAGCCGGGCTTAGTTGGGAGTCATGCGCGCTGTTCGGCGCGGTGTCTGCATAGTCCGATGTATGACGGGCTGGTTCGGACTCGTGGTGAGCTAATTGGCCTCTTCAGACATTCGGAGGGATGTGGCGAGTGCGACTGATCCCTGGCAGTACATAATGGGCTGCCCCTGGAAGTCGGGTGGACGCTATGACCGGCTATCCTTCTTTCTCCGGTACTTCCTGCCGTCTGGTATGTCCTATCGTGGTGACGCTCGTGTATCCCAGTTGAGCGCAAAGTGACCGTAGGTATCGACGCGCTCGCGAACCCCAATCAGCAACGTCAGTGCATCCCAGTGTGTTGTACGTGGTCGGGTGTTCCTAGCTGTCTCACAGTTCCCGCCATTTTGACGTGGCAACGTCCGTGAACAGTGTGCCATCACAGCCGCCAGCCCTCCGTGCCTATACCTTGTCTCGCACGGCACGCCGGTGCTCCCCCTCCCCCTGCTCGATGCCTGTCTGCCGGGTACACCTGCCCTGCCTGACGTGACGTCCTCGAGTCCGCGTTCGTGTCGCCTTGCCCTCTACCCTCAGTGGTCGTGCCGTAGGCGACTGACCGATGCTGCTCGGATGCGGGATCCTTGGTGATCCTCTGATCTAGGGGTGTGGTTCGCCGTTCAGTTGGGGCTCTATACCCCCAAACTTTGGCTACAGACTCTGTCTCCTTCAACTCTGAGAAGGTGGGGCAAATCCGTGGAGCGACCCGTTTGTTGACTTTTGGGGGTAGGTTTAGCTAGTTTCTTCTGCTCCATCTCCCCCCCCCCCCCTTACCGATTCATTTCGCGAAACCACGGCCCTGCTCTGATGGTACTTTGGTATTGTATTCTGCTAGGCGTTACTCCTCCAATCCTCTTTTGCCGTTGATGGATGCTGTTCGCCAGTGTCGTTTGTCGCCCGTCAGTAACTCCTTTACCGCTCATGCGACCATGTCTTCCCCCCTCCCCTGCCAATCACTCATTCACTCTTGCACCAGATCCGTGTCCCTCTATCCGCTGTTCCTCCCGTGTCCGCGCCGTGTCTTCTCCGTCCGCTGTTTCTCCCATGTCTTTGCTGGGCCTCTGTCCGCTGTCCCTCCCGTGCCGTGTCTCCCATGCCCGCTTTTCTTCCCGTGTCCGTGCCGTGATACCGCTGTGCGCTGTTCCTTTCGTGTCCGTGCCGTATCTCCTCTGTCCGCTGTTCCTCCCGTGCCCTTGCTGTGCCTCCTTTGTCCGCCGTTCCTCCCGTGTATGTGCCGTGTTTCCTCTGTGCGCTGTTCCCCCCGTGTCCGTACCGTATCTCCCCTGTCCGCTGCTCCTCCCGTACCGTGTCTCCTCTCCGCTGTTCCCCCCGTGTCCGCACCGTATCTTCCCTGTCCGCTGCTCCTCCCGTACCGTGTCTCCTCTGTCCGCTGTTCCTCTCGTGTCCGTGCCGTATCTCCTCTGTCCGCTGCTCCTCCCGTGCCGTGTCTCCTCTGTCCGCTGTTCCCTCCGTGTCCGTGCCGTGTCTCCTCTGTCCGCCGTTCCCCTCCGTGTCCGTGCCGTGTCTCCTCTGTCCGCTGTTCCCTCCGTGTCCGTGCCGCGTCTCCTCTGTCCGCTGTTCCTCCCGTGTCTTTGCCGCGTCTCCTCTGTCCGCTGCTCCTCCCGTGTCGTGTCTCCTCTGTCCGCTGTTCCTCCCGTACCTTTGCCGCGCGTCCCCCACCACCGTTGCGTGCCCCGCTGCGGCCGCGGCCGCCGCGGTGACCTGACCTGCCGCCGACCGTCGCCAGCTACTGCGCCGAGCCCGGCAGCCGGGCGCCGTACGAGTGGCCCGACGACATCACCAAGTGGCCCATCTGTCGGAAGGCGTCGGCTGCTCCCGGTCAGTGCGCCCGTCGCCGCCGCCGCCGCCGCCGCCGCCGCCGCCGCCGGCCGATGTGGTGCCGCCATGCTATGCCACTCGGTGGCATGCTTCTTAAAATGCAGTTTCCTGCTTCTCAGCGCAGTCCCATACTTCACAGTCCGGTTCCGTGCTTCTCAGCACAGAACCGTGCGTCGCGCCTCATTCGCCGCCGAGTGCAGCGTCGCGCCGTCCCTAGTTCCTTTCCATCGTCATGCAGTGCGTGACCAGCCGCAGCGGTCTGGCTGTGCTCTGTAGTTGCCTGCTGGCGGTCGTGCTCGCTGACCTCGGCTTGCGGCCAATGCTAGCGGGCCGCCCCTGACCGCGCCGTCGCCGCCGCGCCGGCAGAGGGCAGAGAGGCGGCCGAGCACATGCTGTGCGAGGTGGTGGGTCACCCGTGCTGCGTGGGCATCCACGGCCTCTGCCAGATCACCACCCGCGAGTACTGCAACTTCGTGCGCGGCTACTTCCACGAGGAGGCGGCGCTGTGTTCGCAGGTGAGGCTGTCGCCGGCGGCGCCGGGGCGCCTCCGTCCGCCGCCCTCGCTCGCTGGGACGGATGTTTTTTGGGCCACTGGGCCACCCCGGTCGGCCAGGATCCTGTTGCGCTGTCTGTGCTTCAGCGCACGCGCCGGGGACGGTGTTCGAGTCGGGGTTAAGGACTGGTTTCGCTCCCTGTCGAGATTGTGGTGCTATCACTAAGTCCGGCACGTGGACTGTCTCACTATCGGTTTTGTTCGGTCTCTCAACCCACCTCATCAAAGCTCACTTTAGCCTCTTCGTATTCATGGCCCGCGGCGGCGTGCGTTCGCGGCGTTCGCGACGGATTCACGGCGCGCGCGTGTGACGAACGGCCGGCCGCGCCCTCGCGACAGGTGTCCTGCCTGGATGACGTGTGCGGCATGATCCCGTTCTACAACCCGGAGAGGCCCGACCAGTTCTACCGACTGTGGACCTCCATTTTCCTGCACGCCGGGTGAGCGCGAGCGACACCTCCGTGGGGTGGTGTACGTGGGCGGAACGGGCTGCTGTGGCGTAGTCATTTACTCCGTGTCGAAATGAAAGCGCCGTTGAGGCGCCGATCCGTGACGATGCATTGGCGTTGGTCGGCCCTCCTGCTCCGTAACGACGGCGTCCCATCAGCGGCAGAGCGAAGAGAAAGGTGGCTGCGGAGAAGTCGTGGAATAGCGAACCGGTTTATTTGTGGTGTGGTGTGTGTGTTACAGTACGCCCGCGCTAGAGTGCCTGAGCACGCCTCAGTGGTGCTCAGTGGGCGTCATCTGTGCTGCCGTCGTCAGCGGCGCACGGCCTCCGCTGACGCCGGCCGTGCGGCCGCGCTCGCCGCCGGCCGGGGGCGCCGCCGCCGCCCGCCCGTAACGCCCGTCTCTCTCCGGCAGCATCATTCACCTGGTGTTCACCATCCTGATCCAGTTCTTCTTCCTGCGCGACCTGGAGAAGATGGCCGGCGCGCTGCGCATCGGCATCATCTACCTGGTGTCGGGCGTGGCGGGCAACCTGGCCTCGGCCATCTTCGTGCCCTACCGCGCCGAGGTAACCACGGGCGGCGGGAGCGCGCGGGCCGGTGGTGCTCGTGCCGAACGGGGCCCGTGTCGGCGCCCGGGTGAAGGGAGCCGCCGCGCGAGCTGGCGCCACACGCAGTGTCGCCCCGCTGCGGCTGCGCTGCGGCGGGCGGACTGGACCGCGCGGTCCGTCTTGATCTGATGGAGAGGCTGACGCACGGCGGAAGTGGGTAGTGATGTGCTGGGATAGGCGAGCTGGTCGGTCTGGATGTTTGGTGAGGGCGGGAGCGCCATCTTGACAGGCGGCCTTCTGTCCGTTGAGGAGGCCCTGTTTACTAGAGGCTGTTTTAGTCTACCGCAGGAGCCACCATCATAGGAAGATCTGGTCATGATGTGGTTGTTGACAATGTTTGGAGGCATAGGAAGACTCCGGGCTGTACTGTGCTGGGAAACTGGGGTGCTGTACTGTGCTGGGTACTTGGAGTAGGCGTACCCACTTGAACAGAAGACTCGAGTCGTTTTCGTGGGTGCACGTCTGCTAGTGGCGTGCTTGCCTCATGCACACCAGTGGTGTGCATGTCGTCCCCTGTACCCGAGGCATGCACACCAGTGGTGTGCATGCCTCGGGTACAGGGGACGACAACAAGGTTGCTAAGGCAGCATGACCGATCCATGCCATTACTGCCGCAACCGTAGCGGAGGCTGTCCAGTCGGTGCAGTCGCGTCTGTCCCAGTGACGTCACATCTGTCCCAGTGACGTCACGTGTGACCGCGCTCTGTCGCACCGCCGCAGGTCGGTCCGGCCGGTTCCCAGTTCGGCCTGCTGGCCTGCCACTTCGTGGAGGTGATCAACGTGTGGCCAATGCTGCAGCGGCCGTGGCGGGCGCTGCTACGCCTGGGCGGCCTCACCATGGTCCTCTTCCTCATCGGTTTGCTGCCCTGGGTAAGTGGTGTGTGTCCTTTTCCTCATCGGTTTGCTGCTCTGGGTGAGTGCTGTGTGTCCTTCTCCTCGTCGGTCGGTTGCCCTGGGTTAGAGATGTGTGTCCTCTTCCTCATCGGTCTGCTGCCCTGGTGGTAGATGTGTCCTTTTCCTCATCGGCTTTCTGCTCGAGGATGTTGCCCCGGTGTGTGTTCCATCCCAGGACATTAGCGCTGCTCGTACGGCTCGGCCTTCTCTGCTCGCGGCCTTGCCCGCACTGAACGGCAGAAACCGACGCCGAAGTCACGAACGGCCTGACCGGCTGTGACGCGTCGCTGTCCGCCGACTGCGAGGACCAAGCATGGCGCTTACCCGACCACATCGCGTGACACTTCCGGAGTCCGTGTCGCCACGTGGGCCGCCTTCCAAAGCCGTGCGTCGTCCGTCTGCTGCTCCCTGAACAGTGACCGACCGCCTGTGCCCGACAGGTGGACAACTACGCGCACATCTTCGGCTTCATCGTCGGCTTCCTGCTGTCGTACGCGCTGCTGCCGTACGTCAGCTTCGGCCCGTACGACAGGGCGCGCAAGAAGGTGCTGATCGCCGTGTGCGTCACCACCGTGACGTTGCTGGTGCTCTTCCTGCTCGTGCTCTTCTACGTGACGCCGTTCTACGAGTGTCCCGTCTGCGAGTATCTCAACTGCCTGCCGCTGACGCGGGACTTCTGCGCCGAGCAGAACATCAACTTCGACCGGCGGACCGAGTTGTGATGAGCGGGCACCGCCGGCAGTCCGCGGCGCGCGACCGGCCGTAGTGGAGCGGCGCCGCCCGCCGCCGGGCGTCGGGCGCCGGGCGGCGGCGGCGCGGTGGTGCGGTGTGATGCATCGGCGAGAGGGCTGGAGGTGCGCGCGGCCGGTGGTCGCAGGAGGCGGCCGCGTTCTCGCGCAGCTGGCCACGGTTGGTGCCTGGACGGAGTGTGCACGTCTGCTGGAGCGCGAGGGGCGGCGCGCGCGTGCGCGGGCGTGTGGCGGTGTGCGGCAGCGTGCCCGAGGCGGCCGGCGCCGTGCTGCTGTGCGGCTCCTCTGCAGCTCGGACCGAGCTCGGGGCCTGGTCAGGCTGCCCACTCGTCGGTCCGGCCGGCCGTAGCGGCCCGGCTCCACCCCACCGAGCGCTGGCCTGGCTCCACCTGCCGGCGGCGGCCGCTCGAGCCCGCCGTGGCGACGTCGGCCGGAGGCAGTCCGCCGGAGTCCTCAGCTGCGCCGCCCGGGCCTGACTCCGGCCGACTCCTGATGGGGAGTCGGGCTCAGGCGCCGGTGAAGAGGAGCGGCTTCGGAGGAGGCTGGTCGGAGCGGATAAACCAAATTGAACTTGTTTCAGGCTTTCTGGCAGCCAAAGAGCAATTGACCCGTTGTTTTTTGACCGTGCGTCCTGTTCAAACGGCATTTGGATGACTTGTGTGGAGGATATCTTTGTATGCTCAAACGGTTGTCGGGAGCCGGTCTCTGGTGCCCGAAAACGTCGATGGTTTAGCTCTATGGAACACTGCCCGTTAGTCTCGTGTTGCGACCAGTCTGGCGAGAGAATGCGCCAGATGTGTGATCCGCAACAGCCTACAGCCCGATATCGTGGTCCCGCACTCAAGACGGGACTGACCGCGACATGGAAACGTTCGCTAGCGAAGTGGCGAGAAACTCGGTATTTCGGTTATGTGGTTACCCACATACCCATTGAAAACTAGGCTCGTGCCGGAACAAAGCGCATCGGGTGCTGTGTCAAGCTTGATTTGCTTGTAAGATTAGTTGTCTGTAATCACGCCGCCTGCATCCGCTCCCAGATGTTTTGTGGGAGCGGCGCCCCAAATAAGTTTGAGGCTGGAAAAGGATGTGTTAGTAGTGTCCCTGCTAGATAGTCTTTTCAGTCTGTAGCGCAGTTCGTTAAGCTAGTTATGGCAAGGCCTGAATTACAGGCGTGGATGTTGTTTAAGTTAGTTTTGGCACGTTTGCCTTAGTCACGGGCGTAAGCTAGAACGTCGCGTTTTATGATTTACTTGCACTTAATTTTATTTAAAATGCGTTGCTCCGCTATGTTCAGGATTTCTTCAGGATTGTGCTTCTATATATCCTCCGCCATTCGGAGCCTGTTGATCGAAGACAAGTTTCCAAATCCAGGGCATTACGATTGTGCAAACGGTTGGCGAGTGCGCTCAGCTCGGACGGCAGTTGATACTCAATACTCGTGCACTGTCTGATGACAGGGGGGAGGGGAGGGGGGGGGGGGCGTCGGCTGATTTCGAACGTGATTCGCGGCGCCCGCCGGCCGCCCGTGTCTGGGCCTGTCTGTGTCTGCGATTGTCTGCGTGTCTGCCGGCCGGGGTCGCGGTGACGCCGGGTCGGCGCGGCCGCGCGCTGTCGGCGGCGTCTGGCGCCGCCGCGTCACCTCCCCGCCCACGTGAGGGTTCGGGGCGGCGCGGGCGCCCTCGGGCGTGGCGGCGCGCGCGCGGTGCGGGGCCGGTCGTTTTATATCCGATGTGCTGTCTTGTCCTCTGAGCCGGTGTGATGTCAGCTTCTGAGGATACACCTGACCACCAATGGCGGCTGTTTGGACGGCGCACGTCTCGGGCAAGAGCTCCAGTTACGGGCGGGCGAAGTGCAGACACCGCCACACGGTCATCGCGTGTATATGGTAACGTATCACAGACAGGAGGTATATACTGACTAGTCGTGTCCGGCCCGCGAGATCCGCACGGCGTTAGCGGCCGGGTACCACACTGGGGCTTTCATAGTTCGCTCCCTGTGGGCCATGACACACCACAATGCTCAAGGGTACACAGACTTGCTGAGTGTGAACTGGACTGGACCCACTGAGCAGCCCCTATTCGGACCTGGCCGGGCCGATAAGTGCACGGTAATCGACTGTTCGATGGGCCATCTATCTAGTGCTCATGGTTCACGAGGGGTCCCAAACACGTCCATAGCGTCGCCATAAATTGACCCGCAAGTTGATTCTACGTCGGTCGCCGGCAGCAGACGAGACGTTGCCGTTGCGGACGACACGGCACTAGAACTTCGGCAGCGTGCCGCCGGATGTCGCCACCGTCCGCTGGCCTTGCGCCATGTCCCCGGCTCGGACGTCCCGCAGCTTCAAAGCTGCTTCCCAGGCATGAGAGGACATGCCGAGAAAGGCAAACACCTGAAATAGAAACACATCGTCATCCTGTCACACAGCACCACAAAAAATCCTTATAAACAGTTACCAAGAGAGTGCAGCAGTCGAGTAAATGAGATCTGTCTGCCGCCAGTTCAAATCCAGAAAACCCTCAGCTCAGCGAGGCTTCAGGGGGGGGGGGGGGAGGAGGGGCGTACAATCTGTCATCAGGTCAGGTGCAGGCAGGGAGGTGGCAGCCATTGTCAGTCAGTGTAGGTGGAGATGGGGGCGGAAGGGAAGAGAGCTAGGCACACTTACCGTGGCAGCGGCCCACGACGGCGTTCCACTGAACGAGGCTGAGAGGGCAGCGGCCAGCAGGTACAGTGCAGCCCAGCAGCAGCTGAAGGCCAGCTCCTGCAAGTGGATCAGCATGTGGCATCAGCTGACTGAACACTGGCCTCCAGTGGTGATCCCACAGAGGGGAGGGGGCAGCAGCAGCTGGGGGGTGCCCCCGCCAAACATCCAAAAATAAAACTTTCCTTATCAAGATCTATCCCCTAAGACCCACCACTAGGATCAGCTGCTGCTGGCGGCACCGAGGCTCAGCTGATAAGCGGTTCCTTAACTGACTGGCAGTTCCTCACCAGATGGCAGAGCAGGTGCCAGCAGACAGTGTTGGTAGGCCCTGACTGTCACTGCAGATGACATTTCTGACCAAGGCAGATGCAGACTGCCATGCAGGTTTTCTGTTCCATCAGTCCTACTTACAATCTGCAAGCATGGTAGGAAGTGCAGCTTTTCCACCATGTGGAAGGAGTAGCAGACCAGCATGATGAGTGAGCTCCAGAAGCTGATGAGGCAGACAAAGTAGTACCATGTTGCCACTGGATGATAGCTCAGGTCTGAGATGGTGATGCAGAGAAAGCCACAGAGACCAAGAACCTGAGGGAAGTCATGCCCCAGCACGTTGAAACACGTGCAGCATTTGTGGTTTGAGGAGGAAAACAACAATGTAGGTTTAATGTTCACATATTGTTGTTGAATCATAGTTGCATTTGATTTAATTCCAACAACTTGGATCTACTTACAGTGATTTGTCACACCCAGTGCCAGCATACTTTAAATGTGGTGACACCAGGGTTGGAGAGAGCTATGGACCATTGGTGGTGCAAATAGCTTGCAGAATGAGCATCCTTAAATGATAAAATGTAAAAAAACAGGCAAACTTCAATGAAAGCTGGGGTGGATAGTGACCCACTTAACTTTCATCCTGCATTGCTTACCATCTGTCCCACAACACATGCATGATGAAAATCAATAAAATATCCTCAACCACACTTAATTGTATGTGAAAACAGCAATAATCTGCTGCCACATGACTCTGAATCCATGCCACAAATAGTAAATCTTCTGAGGTAATGGGGAAATTACTACCCTTTCCACTTTCTTTCAATGGAACACCATTGCCAGGTGGGGCCCACAAATCAAATCAGGCAAACCCTCTACTGTCAGTAGGCCCCAAACCATCATCCAATGGTCAGTATAGGTGCCCCACCCAACAGAAATTGTGGGGACATGGGATGGACTGGGTTGGTGTCTCTTAGTACCATCTTTCTATTAAATTATGACCATCAACCAGCCTGGGATCCATCATGCAGTGGATCACCTCAGTGGTCAGAGCATTCCAGTCAATTACAACCCCTTCCTGCAATTACCTCATCTAACATACAAGACTGATCTGGGTCCATACAGTCCCTCACCATTGATCCCTTGCAACGATCTCAGCCGTCATGAAGAACTCATTTGTCCAAGATCTTCCCTCCCATTAATGTTCTGGTATATCACAATTGTGTCATCATGGCATCTCCTGCAGTAGAGGGACAGTAAGCTCAGCAAAGAAAGCCAAATAGGCTCAGGCTGCAGCTTCCATTTGATGCCTGCAGCTGCTGGTTAGTCTGGTCTAAAGCTGACCATGAAACATAGGTACCCACCATCTGCATCATCTTCAGAATGCCTCCAACAGTGAACATATATTCTTTGTGAAGCCTCAACCCCGCAACCACTTTGGTTGTTGTTGCAGTAACACATGGAGCACTTTCAAACATGCTTCCACTGTCTTGCACCGATCATCAACTCGTCAGACGCCGAGCCAAGCTGTGGCACAAGCTTCGCCGATGGCAAATTTAGGGGAAAAATCGTTCACAGCTTCAATGAGCGCTCCGTTCCCGTATTCGAAACGACGCAGTACAACGCGCTTTCAAGACCTCTCCCCTTCACACTCGACCTCATCCCCCCAACCCGCACCCTCAACCCACTACCACAACTGAATATCAAAACATGAACGCTACCGCTGCGCCCGCGCTCTCCGTCGTCGCCAAGGCTATCTAACGTTGCTATTCGGCGTCAAATACGTCGCCATCGCTAACCTACGGCTTCCATTACAATTTCCGTGCCCGTACATCTGTTCACTACAAACTTGCGAGCCAAAAACTTTTCTGTTTGACCAATCATTCAGCAGTAGTGGATTTTTAGACCGATTGTGCTGCCGATTAGACCAATTGGAGTTTTTTGCTAACTTAAATCGATATCATTGAATGTAAGAGTCGTCTTCACCGCCGATCGTGTGAAATTTGCACTCGGTTGTCAATACCGCGTGCGGCCGGTGGTGCGTGGTAGGTGGGTGCGTATTTGTGATGTATTGTATCACATGCTGCGTTGTAGCTATCGTTCCCGCTCGTATATGGTGCTTATTCACTGAAATAAGCACTTAAATCATAAGATAAATCCTGAACTCAACTGGAAGTGAAGCATATTGATGTTGGGTGGGCGCCTGGTGCATTGTATGCATTTTTTTCAGACTGGACTGTTAGTGTGCCTGTCCGAGTTGGATGTTTCAGTTGGCATCTGGTGCAGAGGCTCAACTTGCATTCTTTTATGGGAGATATACCCATTCCTAGGTTGATTTTCCTTTGCCCACTTAAATTTAATGTTTACTTGGGCTTCCAATATTTTTGGTCAAAATATTGCAAGTCTATGGAACACCCAATATCACAGGAAGCCTGCCTTTGGGGATTATGTGATGCCATGACCATGACACCAGGCTACCTATGTAAAGGTGTGTTTGACAGTTCATTCTGTTGAACTCAAGTTCAGAAAGCCAAATTAAGTTCTAGACAAGCTAGGAGGTTGTTTGGGTTCTCTCTTTGCTGTTGGGTTCTCTTCTCTTGTTCAGTGAATCCTGGCTGAATCATTTGCTTAAATGATGCTAATAATATGCAGACTAGGATCAAACAGACAGGATTAAAAGAGCCAACATGAAATCTAGAGATGGGAAGAACTCAACCAACAATGGTATTTTTTAAAAGAATGCTCTGTGAAATGCCCTATATGGGAAAATTGATAGCTTAACTTTTCTGCTTAGGAAAAGTAGAATGGACATTTCCCTTCATGATTTGTGTACTTGTAAATGCCATGTGAAGGTAGCTGATGTCATGAGTTATAGTTTTCAGTCCACCTTCATCACATTGCAAGTATTGCTGTCCTTAGTACAATGGGAAAAGTTTGGCATGCATGGTTGGAATAAAGTCATGTAGTGTGTTGTCAAAATGCAGGCTGACATTTGTAAATTACTTATACAAAATGTGAGAGGAATTCAGACTAGTCCAGATGAGCATAGACATGTACAGACAAGCCCAGCCTGGTCAAGTCCACTCTGACCCTATCAGGTCTTGTGTTGCACTTCCAAGCATTGGCAGGTTATGACCAGTGATCTACATTTTGTCAAGACCAAGTGATGTCATGTAGTCAAAATTTTGGTTGTTGCATAGATCAGGAGCACAGAGGTTACATTGTTAAAGGTGTGCACAATTGTAGTCAAGTTTGGGGACTGGTATGTGTGTGTGATGTCAGTATATACCACTTTGAGCATGATTACTCATAGTGGCATGGGCCATTCCTCAGTACCCATATTGTAACAGTTCTCAAGTGGGGATCCTTCTAAAAAGGAGACTGAAATTGTACATCAGTGATATTCTATTGCAATCTGGTATGCTTTCTTTTCTTCCTGAGGTAAAGAGATGAAGTGCTAGTTCCTCACAGTGCAGTTTTCATTTTTCCCACAGTGGTGCAGAAAATGTTTTAACTTACCTAGTTGTAGGTCTGGACTGCTGTGCCTGCCTGCAAAGTATCAGAAATGTCAACAGGAAATATGGGTCAGCATTGTTGACAGATGCTCAGGGTCCTGGCCTGAATAAGATCTCATCACATTGAAGTGCAGTTTGCAGGGTGGATGGTGTGCATCCCACAGGCATCAAGGGTCATTGGTTTTTATATAGTGCCCTCTGTCATGGCTTCAACTAGTAGTCATGTTGTGGCCAGTTATGTACTGTTTGTTAATTTGATCATTCTGTATGGTCATGCATATAGAATATGTCTGAGGTCATGGGTGATTTTTAGTCCCAGCTCCTTTCAAAGCCCAAGTTTTCACCTACTCTCAAAGCACAGTGTGGTGTAGCATGCCCTGACACTCATGCCTCACTTGCCTTCTGCTGGGTATTTTGTTTTACTTGCCAAATAGTGGATTTGGAAGCCTGCTGGCCTCAGTTGACAGCCTCCCCATGTTTCCAGCTGTCACCTCAAGACACAGCCACAATGAACACGGGGGTGTGCAGTGGGGATATCATGATCCTGGCGGGTAATTCCCACCCGACCCTGGCCCAGCTTATCGCCGAGTAAGTGCTGCTCCTTGAAATACCCTGTGAGCCTAGGGATTTTCTTGGACATGGTGTGCCTTGTGATTACAGTGGCTCACATCAGTGTGTTCCACCAAGTGAAATGTTTTCTTATAAATGGCTGAGCAGTTGAATGCAGTATGGAATAAGCTATTTGCTCTGTGGTGTGTGACTTGCTGTCATGTGGTGCATCTTTTTAATGTGTATCAGGCACCATACTTGGTGCACCCTATGCTGGTATGCAGTTTGTCACTTGTGCCGCAGGTGTGTGTGTGTGTGTGTGTGTGGTTCTCGAACCTTGCCCGCACAGTTGCGTGTTCAGCTCAGCCATTCCTGTGCTATCCTGCCCTGTTCAGACATGTGGTTGTGTCTTGCATGACATATATTTTTGTGCATTTTGTTAGACAGACCATTGTGTGAACATCTTTCATTGCCAAACAAATCTCCAAAAAGTTCGAGGAAGGGTAGGAACGACTTTCGCCACCTTTGTTTTCTGTGCAATCTGTGCTGTATCATGTGCTATAAGGCCAACACCAAGCTTTCCTGAATGGTGGGTGGGGATTGGGGGGTTGGGCACCTCTCCCTCCGTCCCACTCGTCATTTCCGGCCGTGTACGTCACTCTCGGCGACTGGGTGACGGCAGGGCGCTGTGGGCGCGCATCTAAAGCCTGTGCCGACCCCCCTCCCGCCGACTGTAACAGCGTGTCCAGCGACGCCGCCGACCCGCCGTCGCGACCGAGGCGCAGTCTTGGCGTGACGTGTCCCGGCCAGTGGCTGCCGATGCCGATGCTGGCTGCCGATGCCGATGCTGGCTGCCGATGCCGATGCCCCGGCCAGTGGCTGCCGATGGGCGCAGCGGGCTGACGCGTCTGCGCTCGGCGGCGCCGGTGGTCACGGCTGCGGCCGGCGTGTGCTGGCGTGACGGGGCCAGGTCACGGCGGTGACCTCCCCGGCGGTGACCCACCCCCCCCCCCCAGGCAGGGGTAGGACCCCGTCCCCGCGAGTGCCCACCAGCTCTCCGCTCTAGAGCTATCCCGCAGTGCTGACGTGCAGGATATGCGACGGCCTGCCATTGGTTTTCTGAAGCGGGGAGGGGGGGGGGGGGGCGAGGAAGGCGTGCTCGTGGGGCGCGTCTTGTAGCTGGGTATGATGGCCGCATCACTGGAATGGGTATCGTGGATGGTATAACTGGTACGGCGCTGGGTAGCAACGGATGACAGTGGGTTTATGTGGGTGGCGGAAGCATTTGATGTGGTAGATGAGTCACTGTGCCGCTGGCAGGTGCAGTGCGGTGGGTGCTCTAAGACGCAAGAACTGGTTTGCTACCGTGAGACGAGGTGGCTCTAAATGTGAGCTCAGATGGTTTTATGACTTGAGGACTGGAAGGGGCGGGGGAGGGGCTGTATCCACGAGAACCAGATGGGCCCCATAACTCGAGGGCTTCACGGCCTCTGCAATCCGATGACTGGGTGACTCCATAATCCGAGGGGCGGGTGATGGCTCCCTATCCGAGGGCTGGGTGGCAGTACGACGCGAGAACCGGGGTTTGTTAACGCAAGACATGCCTTTTGAGTTCGTTAACGCCGAGAACGTACGCCGGTTGGCTCCACCGCGCCAAGGTATTGCGTTGACTTTTTAAAGGGCCGTCAGCTGTGTCCGGAGGTCCTCGCTGGCGGATCCCGTCAGCTGTGTCCGGAGATCCTCGCCGGCGGATCCCGTCGGCTGTTCCGGAGGTCCTCTGCTGCGGGATCCCGCCAGCTGTGTCCGGAGGTCCTGACTGCCGGGATCCCGTCGGCTGTGTCCAGAGGTTCTCGCTGGCGGGATCCCGTCAGCTATCCAAAGGTCGCTGGCGGGATCCCGTCAGCTGTCCAGATCCTCGCTGCCGGGATCCCGTCAACTGTGTCCGGAGATCCTCGCTGGCGGATCCCGTCAGCTGTCCGGAGATCCTCGCTGGCGGATCCGTCAGCTGTGTCCGGATCCTCGCTGCCGGGATCCCGGTAGCTTTGGCCGCCGGCGCTGACCGCGACTGGGCGCTGACTGCGTGGGCGACCAGTTCTGTGGGAGTCAGGGCGTGTCAGAGCTCCGTGACTCGTGAGCTCCGACACGGCACGGAACTGCGCGTGTTCATTGAGATGACCTGTGACCTCGCTCGCTTTGATCCGTGCTGACCTTGGTGGTGTTAAGCCCGTGGGACACGACCTCCCGCGCAGATGCAGGCGCAGGTGCGTATCCGGTGCTGTTTGCCACGGTGTCAGTGACCTTCCGTCTGTCGTATGCTATCGTATGCCTTCCGGATGTCTCGTCTGTCGTGACCGTGAGCGCCCGCGTGCTGACGGCGACCTCCGTGGTGACCCGCTGACCTGTGACCTGATGACTCGGTGACCTGACCGGGCGGCGCTGCGGTGCTGCAGCCGACTCGGTGTGCGGCTAGGCGCCTGCGTTGTGTACCAGAAAACCGACAAAGAGACTATGGTCGAGATCCAGGAGTCGGTGCGCTCTCGCACGGTGTATATTCTGCAGACGGGCAGCAAGTGAGTGCTGCCGCCCGCCCGCCGACCCGGCGGCCGGCCCCCGCCGCCGCCGCCGCCGCCGCACCCCCTCCCCCGTCCGGGGCGCTCGCCGCAGCCGGCGCGGGACGGAGCCGGCGAGCGCGCGGCCGCCTCTGGCGACGAGCGCTCGCAGTCAGAGCGCCGTCGGTGACCGTTTGTGCTGAGTAGTTCTGATGCGCCGATGGCGTTGTTTTGGTGCCGGTGCTCGGTTGCTCCGAGACGATTTTCTTGCCGCTCTGACGAGTACTGAATCTAAACAGTGAGCGATTTAGTTGAGCTGTTGGCTTTGACAGGCTCGATCGCACGGCGACCGTTTTTCCTGCCTGCGACAGACACCAAATCTGAACGTCAAGCGCTTCAGTTGAAGCAGCTAAGGTTAAATGGAGGTCATTTAAGGTTGTTGAGTCGATCAACGGTCACTGGGTGCGCGGGCGAGCCCGGCGGACGTGGGAGAGTCGGCGCAGCGGCAGCGGCAGCGGGCCGCGCCCGGGACTCCGGCCCCCGGCCGGGTCGGCGCGGCCGCGGCCAGCGTGCGGTGCTCTGGGTAGCAGTGTGTCGGTTCCGTTGTGCATGCCGTTCGCTTGCGTCTCCGCTCTCTGCCCGGCCGCCGGCGGCGGCGGCGCTCTGGCGCGCGCTGGCCGGGCGGCGGGCAGAGGGCGGGCGACGCGGCAGTGTCCGCAGTCACTAATGCACCCGGCCATCCAGTCACCCCTCCTCCCCGCGCGCGCTCTCTCTCTCTCGCTCGCTCTCTACCTCTCTTGCGCGCGCGCTCTTTACTCACCGATCCCCTCTGCCGCCGGCGCACGCTAGAAAGCTGGACCGCAAGCTTGTCGAGGCCCAGATTGGCAAGTTCGCCAACCGCGAGACGCAGCTGGAGATTATGCACTCGCTGCGGGACAGGGACGTGTACATTCTGCAGACGGGAGGAAACATGTAAGCACGTCCGGCTAACTCGCGTTCAGTGGTCTCCGCTCTCCGCTCCCCCGTCCACTCCAGTGCTCCACGTTCATTTGACGCTCCAGCGTTATTCACTCCTTCGTGCTCTATTGCCCCCGCCCCTTGCTCCCCTATGCTTTGATGCTCCTCGCCCTCCCATGGCTCTGTGCTGCCTCCTCCGTGGTTCAGTGCTTCCCGCTTCCCCATCGTGTTCCGGTGTTCCCCGTACCCCGTGATCCAGTGCTCTCCGCTTCCCCGTGTTCAAGTGCTCCCTGTTCCTTCTCTGCCCCGTAATCCGACTTTCCGTGCCTTCCTCCTTGTGTTCCTTGTCTTTTCCTTTCTCCCTCCTCGTCTTGGACCTCCTTCTTTACTCTGTGGTCCATTGTTCTCAGGTCGTGCCGTGCTCTGGTGTTCTCGGCCCTCTAACTGTCGTTTTCTTCGTGACATCACGACCCTCGCCCAAACCGAGATGCCCTCCCTTCCCGATCCCGTGCCCCCCCCCCCCCCCCCCGTCCGAGTGTGAGCGCCTTATCCCCCCCGCGGCTATTCCTTCGCCTCCGATGTGACTCCGTGTCGCTGCCGCGCCTGCGCACCGCCGCGCCGGCGCGCCCTGTCCTGGCCCGCGGGACCTCCTCTCCGTGGCAGCGGGCTGGCTCGGGTCTGCTTCTGTAACGTGCCCGCCGAGCCGCGGCGCCTGCGAGCGAAGTTCTCGTCCTGTGTGGCTTGACATCGCGTCACTTGTGCCGCTTCGTTGGGAGCCGGGCTGCGGGCACCGCGTCGGGGGCACGTAAGCGTCGCCTGTCGAAAAGCGGCATTGCTGGTGGTGGTGTAACGTGGGTTCTTGTAGCCAGCGCGAGGGTTTTCGTCACCAGCTCTGTCGCTTGCCGCGTGATCACGAGTGCATACGATTGTGTACCGTAGTTTTACTCGTGTATCGTAAATTTACTTGTCATTTGTGAATGTAACGGGGCGTTTTTCAAATTAGCAATTGAAAAGGTTGAGTTCACTTCCGTTGGTGACATAGCCGAACCGGCGTTTTGGTGTGCCCAGACACGTGGTTGTGATTAGATGCAAGTGAGCGTACTTTCTGTCAGCTTCCAGCTTTCAAGCATTGTCTTCGCCGGTCCTTGCTTCCCTGGCCGAAGTTGTTGAGTTGAGTGATCTGCGGAGCAAGCTTTACCGGTATCGCTGCCTCTTTGCTCAAACGTTTCAAACCCGCTTAGCGCGTTTTTCCCGTCGCATTAACGGTTAGTCAGGGCTTTTTGTTTCAACGCAAAATTTTGAGTAAGTCGTAGCCTGTTGGTGGTGCGTTTTTTATTATCAGCGTCAGTTGTTGCCTGTTGGCTGCAACCAAAAATGTGTTCGTCTCCTTTCATGACAAATGGCATTGCTATCATCGCGTCCCCCATATCGACTGAGACCATGGCTCTTGCCTACCGATCTTTGTTTTATTTCTGTTGTAGCTTTTTTAACCCGGACTCGCACGTGAGCTGCATTCTCGCTCTCCTTTATTTCGCGATCTTCTGTCACTGGCATCTTTGCGCCTTCTTTCTGTAGTAGAATGCCTGGCTGAGGCTAGTCTAGAGAGCCTGACTTTACGTGTAGCGCCCTAGGAGCCAGCTTGTGCTCTGGGCCGGATCGGCCCATTGCGCTGCATAGATGTCTACGAACGGTAGCTGTAGTGTAGCCGGATCGGCCCATTGCGCTGCATAGATAGTGTAGAAACGGTAGCTGTAGTGGATTCGCTGCCCGCGCGGTCGCCGTTAGAGCCTGACCTGCCAGATACGACTGCTGGGCGCCCGGTCGTTGACCTTTGACCAGGTCAGGGCGCGGGTCAGCCGCCGGGCCGTACCGGGGCCGGCTCCCCGGAACGTGTGGCCTTTGCGGGCTCGCTGTCGGCCCCTCCGGTCGCCAGCGGTGCCCAGCCCTGACCCAGAGCCAGTGCCTGTACCGGCGTGGCGCTTTCTTTGATGGCTCGTGGCTTCATGACACGCCCCTGGCGCGACTTTTAGTCCGATTTCAAAATTGTGAAGATCGAAGGTCTCAGACGCTTCAGATCTGAACACACCAGTGTAATGTGAACGACCAATGTCGCCACTGCTGTTTTTTTTTCACTTCGCGGAGCTTCAAGACGCTTCTCGCACAAATGACCCGCGGCTAAAAAATCGTGTTGGTTTTTCTTTTCGGGCACCCCACAAGCCATGCCGTTGCGTGATTCACCTGATCGCCCTGTGGGGCATGCGTTCACTCCTGGTTCACCTTGAGTAGGTCAGTGCCTGGCACCCTGTTGACGACCCAGCCCTCGTCTTCCTGTTGCTTGAACCGGGCCCTCCTCAAGGCTCGGAACAGAACGCTTCACGCCCGTGCGGTCGTAAAAGCTCCGCGCTGTTGCTTTGTGTTGCGCGACTGTTAAGTTTCGCATAGAGTCGTAGCAGCCTCGCTAGTTCGCTGTGTTAGTTGGTCGGGCCCCGACAGCCGCTCTCCTCTTGTGACCTGTGACCAGAAGCGCCCTGGTCGGTCGACCTCTGACCTCGCCCCGACGCTAGGGACGTCAACAACTCCATCATGGAGCTGCTGGTCATGGCGTACGCCTGCAAGACGTCGTCGGCGCGCAACATCATCGGCGTTATCCCGTACCTGCCGTACAGCAAGCAGTCCAAGATGCGGAAGCGGGGCTGCATCGTGTCCAAGCTGCTGGCGAAGATGATGTGTGAGTGCCCCCGGCGGTCGGTGCGGCTCGCGGTCGGCGGGGATGCCCGCCCCGCGGGTGGAACGGCGGCCTGTAGGGTGTGGTGTGTGGTGTTGAGGGGCCGGGGGGGGGGGGGGGGGGGCTCGTTCCTCTTACTTTTACTCTTAAAGATGAGGCCCCTGGTTTCTCTTAGAGATGAGGCCCCTGATCCGTGGTGTGACGGTGCCACAGGACGGGAGTTCATTTGGACATCCTCCATGGTGAACTCTGAGAGGGTGTTCCGAGGCAGGTTCAAGGCCACAGCTCCAGCCCAATTTTATCCGTGTGAAAGTGCGAATTGGAAAGGCGGTTTTGACGCGCATCGCAAATCTGATATCTATGTCGTGACTTTTATTTCATTCGTCCGTGCCCAATGTTGCTGTTTGTAATCCTGTGCTTCACAGCCAGTGCTGTGACCGGGAGTACTGGCATTGCCCGTTTAGGGCCTCCCTCTGAGCCGTTGTGTCCGGCTCCGGCAGGCAAGGCAGGACTAACGCACATCATCACCATGGACCTGCACCAGAAGGAGATCCAGGGCTTCTTCGACTGTCCGGTGGACAATCTGCGCGCCTCGCCGTTTCTGCTGAACTACATCCGGGAACAGGTGAGGGGCGGGCGAGGACGCCGTGCGCTCGCACTCTGTGCGCCGTGCCGCTCGGTGAAGGCTGATTGGAACTGCGGGCCGCGTGGCAGTGTGACCTGGCGCGCTGCTGCATCTCTGTGAGAAGTTGATCACGCTGTAACGGGGCTGTCCGAATGCGGTCCTTTGATGTTTGTCCTTTGTTTGCTGTCCTTGGTTGTCCCTTATTTGTTGTCCTATGCTTGTTGTCCTTTGATGGGATGAAGATCTTCCGTGGATTTGGGCGTCATATGACCAACGTAGTCGGTGCGCCACAAAGCCCAAATCATCATCATCATCTTCCTGGATTTGAATCATCCAGGGCCGGCTTGGCGATATAACACAGGTCGTTATAGTGGCCGCTGCTTGCTGTGAATGTCATTCAGCTTGTTGCAGGCGCATGTTGTTGGCTATTCAGCTAGATCTACTAGAAGCCTGCGTGGAAATGTGCAGGCAGCTATGGCCACTTCGTGAATTGCTTGATAGACAGGTTGATAGTGTTGTTTATAACGCCCTAGTTGACTTTGGAAGTATCAAGATGCCTACCCCCCGGCATTTCAATCGTGTAAAATCATGTCCTCGTCATTCTGTGTGTTAAACCGGTACCGGAGGCGAGCTGCATATGGGTCGTTAGTAGGAGATGACTGTTCTTGTCTTCAAAGCACATGCTGTTTGTTCTTGCATTGTATTTGTACAAGTGTTGGGTGTCCGTCCTTCCACATTGGGAATGCCAGAGAGTGGGCGAGGGCATCCAGGGCTCCGCGGAGGGTCTCCAGACCGCAGCTTTGACCAGACCTGCTACTTGCGCGTTCGCTCGCTGTTTTGCCGCACTTCAGGCAGAGTCTGAACAGAGTCATAGAGTCAGAGCCCCTGGCGTGTCCGAACCGCTGTGCCGTGCCGGCCCGCTGAGACCCCCACGGCCGCGTCTCCGACCCTCCCTCAGATTCCGGACTACCGCAACGCCGTGATCGTCGCCAAGGACCCGGCCTCCTGCAAGCGCGCCACGTCTTACGCCGAGCGCCTGCGTCTCGGTACGCCCTCTGACATGGGACCACCGCTGTGGTACAGCCTCTGGTGGCGCGACGGCGCGCCGTCGACCGGTAGTCGGTTCACTGGTGAACATCGCGTTATTCCTTGGTTGGCAGTCGGAGATGAGTTTGAGTTTTTCGTGGTGCTTTTTGTTGGTGTAGCTGAGGTTCGGTTCCTGTTTGATTGTAGTTTCAGCAGATGCACTCACTCCGGTAGGTACAAGATGCTTGTCGCGGTGCTTATTACCCTCGTTCTCAGACCCCTTTTGGTTTGGTATTTTGGTTGCCACTCGCCTTTGCGCCGTGGTAATATCCGACCCCCCCCCCCCCCACCGAGTTCCTGCGTTGCGTTATGTATTGCCGATGTGATCGCAGCAGTGGCGACGTCTGCCTGCAGGAGTGCGTTTTATTGCCGGTCTGAGCCATTACCCCCCGCCCCCAGCGGTGAGTCGGCCAATCGGCGGCCGCCACGTCACCGCCGGAGGCGTGGCCCGCCGTGGCTGCCGGTCTTTCGCGTGCTCTCACTCCGCATGTGATAGTTGTCGGCCAATCGCTGCGCTCGCAATCCGTAGCAGCCAATCAACGGGAGGGTGACCGTCCTCTGGCCAATCACGCACCGAGTTGAACATGCCAGTGGCCGTCTCTTGGCCAGTCACATATCGAAGTGGGCGTGCCAGTCACAGAGAGCTACGACGGTCACTTGTCCGGCGGATGGCTCGCCGCAAGCGCGGCAGACAGCGATAGACCGAACGTAGTCTGCAACCTGGGCGGCGGCGCCGAGTGCGGCCAACACTTGGACCGCCTCCCGCCGACATAGGCTCCTCTGCAGAAGGCTGTGTGCAGTTTGAGTGGTGCTGTAGAGATCTGTTCTCCGAAAACGCCTCTGGCTGGGGGTACGGAAGCGTTGCCAGCTTCTGATAGCGAGTGTGCGGACTGCGGACATAGGGGGGGGGAGGGGGAGGGGGGGTCAGGGAATAGGGGCGAGAGAATGCGCTAGCTGCAGCGATAGTGAAGTGGTGATTGCTACTCCGGTCCAGTAGGGACGTTTGGTCCTATAAACTGCGTGCACAGGTGTAGAGGCATGTGGGAAGCCCAGAGACTTGTCATAGCGCGGAGTGCTCGTTACAGAATGGCGCCATGTCATGCGTCGGCACCGTTTGCAAATATTCTCCGCGTGAAAACCTGGTTGTGGGTCAGCGCCTGCATTGGCCAAACTCGGCATAATCTGCGATGAAACGGGTCGGCTACTCAGGTTGTCTGCTAATGTTGTCTTGCTGGTTCGTTTTGAACATGATTGGGCGATATCAGTCGCGCCCTGTTTTAGCATGTTTCTTAACCGTCTGAACGCTCTGGGAGGGGGCCGCAAGTTTTGTTCTTCATAGTGTTCCCAGCACGCGCGATTACTAGGCAGCAGTTCAGCAGCTCTGCCGCTCCTCGGCGCTCATTGGTGAAGCCTTGGTCAACGCATCAGGACAGGCCTTCCCACGCTCGTTTTCGACGGCAGTGACAATGACCCCGGTCGGCACCGGCCGACTGCGTTGTGGGAATGGCGCCGGCGGGGCGGGGCGGACTGAGGCGCCTGAGCCGCGCCGGGCGGAGCTCACGCGCCAGGCGGCGACCGGGCGCCGCCGGCGGGGGTCACGCGGGCCTCTCGTGACCGTGGGGACGATTTTGGGTCCGCATCCATGCTAGGTTACGGCCCATTGGTGGTACTGGACATGGCAGCACTGCCTCGTGTTACGCGGTGCATGATAACATCGTAACGTGTACGATATAACATGATGACCTGGTAGCGTTGTCCGACGTGCGATGACGCCTGGTAACGTCGGGTCCGTCCTCAGCGGCCGGCGAATGCGACCGCGCCGCTAGAGTGCCGCTCTCCGTGTCCGCGGAGGACGGCTTCTTTGCTCAAGGCGCCCGCCACCCGCGTCACCGTGCCGCCTCTGCCGACCCGCCGGAGCGCGCGGAGGCGGCTGCTGGCGGCTGGCTGCTGGCTGCTGGTGGCGAACAGCTCCGCCGGACGCAGCGTGGCCTAGTGGCTGCAACGCAACCGTTCGACTTAAGTCGGCCCCCTCCGCGGCACGGCCCCGCGCCGCCGCCGCGTGACGCCGGCGTCGCCCGCCGTGACCGGCCGTGACCTGTGCGCGCAGGCATTGCGGTCATCCACGGCGAGGCGAAGACGCCCGACGACGAGGACGACGTGGACGCCGACGACGGGCGCACCTCGCCGCCGCCCGAGCCGCCGGCGCGCCACCAGGGCCGGCTCCACTCTTCCGTCTCGATGTCGGTGGGTGGCGCGCGCGCCGGCTCCGGCGGGCCCGCGCCGCCGTCCGTGCGGGCCGCGCCGGCCGGCTCTGTTCGCGTCCGGGGTCTGTGCGTGTTCGTGCGTCGGCGGTGGCTTTGTGGCGACGGCCGGTTTGTGCGAACGGCCGCACGGATGCTGTCCGTCTCTGTGCGGGTTGGATGACTGGACCGCCGTGGGGCTGTGCGGGTTGTGTTTGTGTTTGTTATTGGCTGGTTGCGTCTGGGCTGGTCGTGGTGGGTTTTGTTCGTCTGCCGATGGCTGGTGTGGATGGTCGTGGGGACGTACGCCGCGTGTCTCTGCATCCGTGTTGCTATGAGTCGCCGGTGTCAGCTGTCTCCGGGCCGCGACCTCGGCGTGAGGCGGGGCCGCTGTCTGCGGGATGTGAGCGGCGTGTGTGTGTGTATGAGAGAGAGAGGGGACCGGCCGGGCCGTCCGGCTCGCCGCCGCCGCCGCCGCCGCCCGACTCCGAGCTCGCGCACGTGACCCGAGCTGACCCGGCGCCGGGGCGCCGGGGTGGCGTCCGCAGGGGGCGCGGCGGCCGCCCGGCGGGCCGGACGGACCGGCCGGAGGCACGCCCGTGATCGCTTCTGGACTCCACTGACGCCTTGCTTTCACTTTACGCCGGGAGCGCGGCCTGTGTTGCGGCTTTGGTTTGCTGTGTGATGAGTTGGCCGGTTTTTCCTTTGTTTCTGCACCGTCCCGCCCTGGCGCCGCCCCCGTCGACTAGCGGCGCTCCGTCCTGTTCCGCGGCGGCCGGTTTGAATGTCTCGCGGCCGCGCCGGCGGCAGCGCAGCCGACGTGACTCCAGCGCCGGCGCAGCGAGGTCAGCTGGAGGATGGAGGTGGCTGGTGAGCCGCTGGTAAACGGGACGCGCGCGCTCGCTCGCTGGCTCGGCGCGGCTGGCCGTCCCCGAGCCGCGCCCCTCTGTCCAGCTCTTGGTCCTGTCCGCGCCCCGTGCTCCCATCTAAACGGCAGCTCGGCTATCTGCAGCGCTTGCGGGAGACGTTTGCCGCGCCTCTTTCCCACACTACTCCTCGTCCATTCCTTTGCGTTGCTTTGCATAGCTTTCATTCCTCCCCCCCCCCTTCTTCTGTACTCATAAAACTCCTCGTCCGTTTCTTCGTACCCTGTACTCACGAAACACATTCATTTCTCCACATTCCTCTCCTCCCCCGCTGTGTTCACGCCATTTCTCGTTCATTTCTCCGTATTGGTCCCCTCCCTTTCCGTATTCACAGAACTCCTTGTTTACTTCTCCCTGTCATATTCCGCCCCCTCCTGTCATGTGTAGACGGCCGCTGTCCGGGCGCCTCCTCGCTTCTCCTCCGTCCGCCTGGGTCTCGTCCTGCTCGCGGGCGCCCGCCTCGGCCGCGCCGCCCAGCTGACGCCCGCCACCCTGCCGCCCCTGCGTCCAGTCGTTCCTGGAGCCGAAACGAGTCGGAGATGGCGGCTGTCGCGGCCGGGGCGGGCCGCCGCGCGCCGCGCGACGCTCCGCCTCCGCTCCACGGCCTCGGTCTGCATCGTGAGTAACGCCGCCGTCGCCGCCGGGGCCGCCGGCGAATGAGGCGCGTGATGAGGCTGTCAGGGGCGTGATGAGGCTGTCGGGCGCGTGATGATGCTGTCGGGCGCGTGATGAGTTTTGTCAGGCGCGTGGGTCAAGGGCTGGAGTTGTGGCGTCGGTGCGGCGGCCAGGGCCGCGATGCAATGCCACAAGCTACGTCTTGATTGGTCACTGGTGCCGCCGCTCAGTAAGGACATCAGCTGGGAGATGGCGGTGTCGCCACGCTCCGTTTATGTGGTAAGGGGGGGGGGGGAGTTATTGGCACTGTTGTTTTTGCAGTCGATGCAAACATTGCACTCATGGGGATGATCATCACCGTAGCCGCTCCTGGTCGTTGATAAGATGCCGAGTTGAGCCTAGCAAGCGGTCAGCTGGGATTACGGTCCTTAGCTTGCCGTTGCAATTTAGCACTGCGTGGGCTGAACGAACGAGGTATTTTTCCAACCGTAGATATTTTATTGTCGAGTTCCAAAATGGTTAGTTGAGATCGGTAGCATATCGGGGAACCCACCGGTGACTAAAATAGATAAAGTCGTTGCCAAAACACCGCAGCTGTTGCTACCTGCCATTCGTATTTAAAGTAAATGTGGAAGTACGAGGCATGAACGGAATTGGATCAATGCCCTCTCTTATTCCTCTGTCACCACGTGTTTCATTCTGATTTGCTACCACCTCTCACTGCCCCGAGGTGATTGGTTGCCACCTCTCACTGCCCCAAGGTGATTGGTTGCCACCCCTCACTGCCCCAAGGTGATTGGCTGCCACCTGTCACTGTCCCAAGGTGATTGGCTAGCGTCTGTTCGTATGCTTTCTGACGGTCATATGGGCCACCAGCCGCGCTTTGCTGTTCAGTCTGCTTGGCAACGCGGCGATCACACGGCTGGACGAGACTGCGCCGTGAATGCCGTGGGCGCCAGATCACGCTAACGGAAGCGCCCATGTCGGTGGCGGGGGTTTACCATCGGGGCCCACCCGCGCCGTGCGCCTCCGGGGCGACACGAGCGAAGCTGAGAACACGCCTTCATGACGATGACATGACCCGAAAGCCTCGCGCCCGCCGTTGGTTACTTTGGTGTCACTGTATTTTCAGTGTTGCACACTCTTGGTTTACTTTTCTTTGTTGCGGGTGTGGATGCAGTGCATGACCTTGATTGGTTGTTCGTAGCGACTTGGAGAGTGTGCGCTGTGGTGCCCTGTGACGTGCCCGAGAGCGTGTACCTGACGGGGTGTGTTGAGAAGAAGCGTGGAGGCTCGCTCGCCGCCGGCGCCGCCTGACCGTCGTCGCGCGTCGCGTGCGGCCTCCCCCGCAGGGCGAAGTGGACCCGTCTCGGATCATGACCGCGGGCGTGACGGGCGTGCCCATGCAAGCGGCCAAGGAGAAGCCGCCCATTTCGGTGGTAGGAGACGTTGGTGGCAGGATCGCCATCATGGTGGTGAGTCAGCTTCCCCTACTCACTTCACCCCCGACCGTCCCCCCCCCCCCTCCCACCTCACCCAATGGTCCGCCGCTCCGGGACCGGATGTTGGGGGCGGAGGATGTGTAAAGACGAGGACTTTCCGGGTAAACATGTCCGGACTCGGCGTGCTCGTGCATCCGAGATTTAAGGATACGCTTCCGAGTGAGCAGAGCGCTGGGCGAAACACCGCCGAGCCCGGTCTCAGCTGGCGGTGAGGGACAGTATGCTCTGGTGATGTACCGGCGTTGGGAACCCGCCCGCGACGTGCTGCATAGCTCACGCCGGCCTGTGCTGGTTTCTCCGTGGCAGCGGGAGAGATGCCGATCCGAGCCGGCATGAGAGGCACGATCCCGAGAGGGCATGAGAGATCATGACGGGGCATGGGCGGGCATGACTTTCTCCCGCGCGCGCCAAGCAGGATCCCGAAGCCCGTAACGTACCCGCGCGGAGATGACATGCGACCAGCTGGGGACGGGTACGTTGTATGGTGACGACCGGTCCTTGCTGCAGGCTGCGGGAACGCGCGGCTGACCTTACTTCGGCCGAGCGATGACAAGGTTGGCGGCGTTTTGACCCGGGGAGGGGGGGGGGGGGGAGAGTAGCTGACTGGCAGTGTTCTAAGCCCGCGATACGACTGGGGTTCCGCCGACGGCAGGGCGGCAAGACGACCGCCCCGCCGCGACCGGTCGCTGACATGACCTGACCTGACCTGACCCGGACCTGCGTGCCGGCAGGACGACATGATCGACGACGTGCGCTCGTTCGTGGCGGCGGCGGAGATGCTGAAAGAGCGCGGCGCCTACAAGATCTACGTGCTGGCCACCCACGGCCTGCTGTCGGCTGACGCGCCGCGCCTCATCGAGGAGTCGGCCATAGACGAGGTGACCCCTACCCCCACCCCCACCCCCACCCGCGGCCGGCCGCCCTTCGCCCCGTCACCTCTGCTCGCATGCTCACACCTGGTGTTGATGGTTGTCTGTGCCGGCTCGGGCTGAGCTTTTGGACTCGGAACTTGGTTTTCTGTGCGGTGCGACACATGGCGCGCGCAAAGGGTGAAATCAACTTAGCTGGCCGCACGCACTAAACCTCACCCAGATCGCGTCTTTCATCGGCCTTTGCCTCGCGGTGGCCCGCGTCGTCCATCTGCCTGGCAAACCCTTCATACCGACTGTTACCCAGATCACATGTCATGTATTCGATGAGCTTTCGTTTCGTCGTGGTGCACTCGCGTCCGGACCGTTGCTCGTCGGCGCGGGTCGACGTCACTTGTGCACGGAGTTGGCAATCGCCAGCACACTGCCTCGCGACGCCGGCGGGCCGACGTCACCAGCTCGCCGCCGCCGCCAGGTGGTAGTCACCAACACGGTGCCGCACGACGTGCAGAAGATCCACTGCCACAAGATCAAGACGGTGGACGTCAGTATCCTGCTGGCCGAGGCCATCCGCCGCCTGCACAACAAGGAAAGCCTCAGCTACCTCTTCCGCAACATCACCACGGAAGACTAGGCGACGCTGGGCACCCCTCCCCCCCCCCCTTCCCGTCGCCGCCGGCGACCTGGGAGCTCCGCCTAACGCCGTGGAGGGGGGGGGGGGGGGGCTGAGGCGGTGGGCGTGGGCGACACACCACGGCGGGGAGGGCTGGGCCGAGGTGCCGCCGCGCCGGCGACAGGCCGGCCGTCAGCTAGACGCGGGAGGTGTCCGGGCGCGGTGCGCCGATGTGCGTGCCATGCTGCGCACGTGTCCGCATGGTGGCGTGCGTGCGCTGCTGCGCGTGACCGGCGGCGCGCTAGGGCGGCGGAACGCGGCGATGTGCGCGCGGTGACGCCGAGTGCGAGGACCGGGAGTGGGACCCGCCGTCGGCGGAGCGTCTCGAGTGGCGTCTGGGCCGGGCCCCGGGGGGGGGGGGCCTGCGCGCCGCGCCGTGGGGCCGGCGGGCCCGGCGTCCCTCATGCCTTTCGTCGGTCGGGCTGAGGCGGCTCGGTGGAGGCCGCGCGCCGGCTGGGCGGCGGGCGAAGACGGCTCGTCAGTCGGCGGGGAGAGGTACCGCGGATGTCGGCGCCGATCTGGCGCGCCCCGGGACCGCGCCGGGCCCGCCTTGTGCTCAACCGGCGTGGCACCAGACAAACCGGCCAGCGGCGGCCGCCCCGCGCGTCGGGCCTTGCTGTGAGGAGGCCCGCCAGGTGGGGGTGGTGCGCGCAAGCTGGTGTTGTCTGCCACGGCCTGCGGCTGGGGCGACGCGGCTGGACCGCTCGCTGGGCGCGGCCGCCGCCCGGGCGCGGGCTGGATCGGACGGGTGGACGCTCGTCAGGCTGGTCCGGCGGGTTGGGCGCACTGAGCGTGTGGTGGGAGGCTGGGGGAGTAGGTCGTCCGTTCGCCGTCGCCGCGGCCCCGGCCGCCGGTGCCGTGGCTCCGCGGGGTCAGCCGTCGTCTCGGGCGTAGGTCCCTGGGCCGCGGCTGTCGCGGCCTTCCGGGGTCCCGGTACAGGACTTCGGACGGGCGTAGGGGGTGGGGGGGGGGGGGGTGACGGGCTCGGACCCGTCCGCGCGACCCGGGCGGTGCAGGACGCCGCAGCAGACGACGGGGCGTGGAACAGGGTGTCGTGACGGGGTGCGCCGCGCCGTGGATTGCACCAGCACTTGTGCTTGGCCATGTAACCGCTAGGTGCCGGGCATGATATTTACACGTCGATGAAGCAATCGGCATCAGCCATAGACAGTGCAATGTCGAAGTGTGAGCTACATGGGGTTTCACTTATTGTCCCGGCGGAGTTAGGTTTTTGCTGCTGCGCTGCATTACCCTGTTGTGAAAATGACTCAATCGCCAACTTAGTATCCTCAACATGTATATTGACTACCCAACGGGCTGGCATGATGGAACCCGGGAAGGCGCCTGTAATATCTACTACATTCGCGATATCTGCGTGTACATAAACTGGAAATGGTATTTGCGGACATGATGGTAAGTGGCCGTTATTTGTAGTGAATGTTGCCGGCGTTTATGAAGATATACATCATCGATTGCTCCGCACAACCGTGGTGAACTACTGACGGTCTGTGAACTCATGATGGAAACTTGATTAACGGTGTACAGTAGCCTTGTAGTCGGGCTTTCGTAGACCGAGTGTCTGTTTTGGATGTGCCCGGGGATCACGTTAGGAATTCGGCTGGCACTTGTATGGCACGTACTGCGGGACCGTCGTAATAAACCACGGCATTTCTGCACCTTGTTTTTGGCACCGGTGCGACAGTTGTGAAGGCAAGAGCAGTGAAAGCAAGAGCAGGCTAGCGACGGTGGCGACAGTGATGGGGAGGTACCGGTAGTATAGTGGTTAAGGCGTCTTCGTTAACCACTGTGTCTGGGCAACCAGAGGTACGGGAATCGATTCCCCGCGGTGCCCGCCCTTCCTATCAGGGTGGGAGTCAGGCGACGCCATATAGCCTTAGCAGCTGGGTGGGTCGTAAAGCCCCCAATAACGACGGGGACAGCGATGCTCAAACAACTGTCTCCCTTTTTGTAGAGCTCAGCGGTGTCAAGACAGCGGTTGAAAGACATTCAGGTCTATCGAACACATCGACGTCGCTTCAAGCCGAGATTATAGACATAAGGTCACTGACCATCCTCGCTTCCGGGTCATACGCCCTCCGCTTGTTACACGCAGTGCACATTTGGTCTAGCCCCAATAGATACGAAATGAACATGCTACGTCATGTTGAGTTGGACATAGACGCGGGACGCCCTGGCTGCAGTCAATTGCAACAACATCGCAGAACGCAAAAATGCTGAGAGCAGACGCAGGCCGAACAGAAATCAGCGACATCTTTTAGTGATGGCGATACCAGGCCGTCGGCCGGGCATTCACCCACGATCTCGGCTGGAGTCGTGGACGTGGCTCCGGCTGCCGGCTTAACCTTTCGTTGCCCTCTCCCTACCCCCAGCGCTAGAATTAGCGAATCTAAATCAAGAAAGTGGCTACTGCTCGCAGGTAAACGCGTCGTAAAAGTCCTAAGGTTAGGTACGTGCGGCCCCTACCCCAAATAGAATTCTGTAGTGTCACATTGGTGCTGACATCTAGTGATCATTCCAAAAACTTATAGTTCGTTAGTGTTGCCATGGCAACGGGCCTCATGATGACATGATTCAGATCGGGTAAATGCTTCGGGAGGGTGCGGACAAGTCCAGATAGTCCAAAAAAGCTCGGGTGCTGCACGTTTGTGATGTAGCAATTATACCGAAATATTTTCCAACATGGTGCCCAATGTTCACACAAGCTGATCATGTCCAACGTATTCATAGTCCAACAGATCTAATCGGTCAAAAAGGTAAGCTTGGGGGCTGGTTTGCGTCAAACTGTTCTTGCGTAAGGACGTCGGCAACTTATGCCGGCTCCTTTCAGGCAGTCACACTCATTGGAACGATCGCACCACTTGGAAATGAACAAGACAATTTACATGTGTACACGGGCCATAGCATAACTAACATATACCGAAGGTAGGTACCTAGCCTATGTTGTGAGGCTAACGTATGCTGTATTCTACATGCATCGTGGCTTGACTTAACAGACTTTGTATGCAAAGTTAGACTAAGCCCCAGCGACTTCTGGACGCCTGGATTGGAGTTAATTTCCACAAAACTTACGTTGCCGCGGTTCCACCCCTACGCGCACACGTATATCTGTTGCACCTGTCCTTTGTACCGCCAGATGGCCCGCAAGAGGGATCTGATCCAGAATCCAGACGGATGTCACCACACAGGAAGAGTGGGAACAGGAGATCTCCAAGCCCGGCCTGACTGTTGTCGACGTGTACCCGGCGTGGTGTGGCCCCCTGCGTCTCCATGCTGGGGATGCTGAAGAAGGTGTGTGCGGCAGACGTCCGGCTGCTGGCCCTCTGTCCGTCGACGCGTTCGCTGTCGACCGACTGCGTGCATGAGCGCGGTTTTAGATTGATGGCAGACAGTCAGTTTTCGGTCAGTGTGTGTGGAGCGTGGACTGAGGAGGTCGGTTCGCTTGTTTACCCCGGTTTGAGTGGAGAGTTAGCTAATGCAATCATGCAAGTTTGGATAGTCCTTGAAGTTGTGGGCCGCAATTTCCATCTGATCGTTTTGGACTTGTGGACAAGTGTTCTGGGAGGCACGTTGGCATGCCGAGAAGATCCATAACAATTTCGAGCCGAAGGAAAAAATGCCTTTCATCCGATACGTTTACGACATATGGATAAGCCATGTAAACTGAGAACATTGCGAGAAACAATTGCTAAAACACGTTTTGCGATCATCTGCCCAACGTGAGAACAAAGTTAACGCCATAGATCCTGGCTAACTCGAGGGCCGTTCCTCCCCCACATACACTTTGCCCTATTTAGTCTAAATAGCCTTAATCAGACGTAATCTGACGTGGGCTGTTCAGACCGGCTGGCCTCCTCAGAAGTGTTGTGCGCCGAGCCCGAGCCGCCCAACTGCGCCCCAGTCCGCCAGATGGACCCACCCCCACGCACCTCGTCCCCAGCCTACGGCTGACGGACCGCCGCCGCCGACAGATCAAGTTTCGAGCTGGGCGACGACATGCTGCACTTCGTAACGGCCCGGTCAGACGCGATCGACGCGCTGGAGGCGTTCCGCGGCGCGCTGCGAACCGCTCTGGATCTTCTATGGCTCGGGCAACGCCGTCTACCAGCTGCGCGGCGCCCACCTGCCGCTGCTGGCCAGCAAGATTCTGGAGGAGCTCGATATTGAGAAGAAGGTGCGGCGCGGGCGGCCGGCGGGTGCCGGGAGGCGGTTTGACGGGTAGCGGTTGACGGGGGTGTGGCAGGTAGCGGGTGGCGGGTTGACGGGTGGCGGATGGCGGGCGGCGGGTGGCTGGGTTAGCGGGTGGAGGTTGACGGGTGGCGGATGGCGGGCGGCGGGTGGCGGGGTAGCGGGTCGCGGTTGATGGGCGGCGGGTGGCGGTTGACGGGTGGCGGGTGGCGGGTAGCGGGTGGGCGGCACCGGCGGTGTGAGCTGGCCTGGTCGGGATGTTTTGATGGCGGGCACGGAACCCAAGGACAATCAAGAACGAAGGTTAAGCGGTGAGGTATCGGCCACGGGTTTTTCTGATGTTGGGATGGTGGAGGCAAGGGTGGTTAGTAGATGCTGCGCTGCATCAAAATGCCAGGTACGTCTCAAGCCCAAAAGGTTACACATTTGTTAGAGGTCGTAAAGGAGAGGGCCGGGACACTCCAGACATTGACTTTTAGCATAAAACACATACTGGGCGTGCGAGGCATTTTCCCACACCCTGCCCTGCTGCTGGGGTACTCTTCACTGCTCCACTGCTGCTCACTGCTGGGTACTGCTCCGCTGCCACCGCACTCTTCGCCACAGACATTCGCGGCGACAGCGGATGGTGCCGTCGGCCCGTCTCGCCCCTGACCCCCCCCCCCCCCCCCCCCCCCCCCCCCCCCCCCCCAGGCGCTCCTTAGCACTCCTCCCGCAGCGCTCCTGATTGCCCCCCCCCCCCCTCCCCAGCGGCGCCTCTGAGAGCTCTCATTGGCGCCCCTGAGCGCCCCCCGCGGCGCCTTGAACCCTCCTCTCGTGGTTGCCCCTGAACGCCCTCCCTTGCGGCGTCTCTGAAAGCCCCCCCCCCCCCCCCCTCCGGCGTCAGGTGCTGGCAGGCGAGCGGCAGCGCGTCACCATCACCCTCGAGTGCGACGCGCCGGCCGAGGTGGAGCTGCCCGAGGTGCCGGTGGTCGAGGACGAGGCCGAGACGGCGGCGGCGCTCAACGCCCGCCGCCAGCGCTCGGAGCTGCGCGTGCGCCGCGCCCTGGCGCCGTACGCCCTGCTGGTGGTGGCGGCCGCCGTCAGGGACAGGTCGGTCGGTCGGCGCGGAGGACGAGCCGGCGCCGGCGCGGTGGCGCGCTCTCGGTCGGACGCGGAAGCACGCTCGCGTCGAGGTGCTCGCGTCAGTGTTCTCAGGGTGATTGTGCTCGCGCCAGTCTGCTCACGTTAGTGTCCTTTGAAAGGGGTCAACGCTGCAGGGCGGCGGACGTTGTGCACAAGTGGCGTTCCAAGGTGTGGCCTGCGTGCACCTAACGCAAAGTGCATTGCTAGTCTTGCGGTATGCGAAACGGCCACAGCGCGTCCGATTTCGTCCGATGGCTGCCGTGCTTTGTTCGAGATACGACTGATGCAGTGCGATGTGATATACAACGCTGACATACGGACCGACGCTGGTGCTTCAGTAGTCTGGGAGGCCACAGCGACACGTTACGTCATTGTTATATGCTGACGCTTCCAGCGCTTTGTTGTATCGTTTGGTTGAAAGTTCAAGCACTGCATGCAGGGAAGCGCCTGATCATGCCACGCGTCCGTGCCGAGGATAATGTAACCCGCTCATTTCCATCACCATCATCACAGACAACAGCGCTGTCGCATCGGAACAGTCCTGCCCCGCCTGGACCGGCCACTAATGTTGTCTGCAGGCAGGAGGAGATCCAGGCCGTGCTGGACGCGCGTGGCTTCACCAGCGGGGCGGAGACGTGTGCGGTGCTCTCCGAGGAGGAGGTGGGACGCCCTGCTGCTGGGTCCGCCGCCGGAGCCCGTGAGTGCCGCTACGCTCTCGTCGCTGGGGGCTCTCAACACGGACGCAGCGCCCGGTTTAATGTCGGGGAATGAAGCTAGGTCATGTGACGTCACAGTTCAGGATGTGCTGAACTGTGATGTAACATGAGCGCGTGGGGGCCGCTTTAAAGTGTAACCAAACAGAACAGCGGAAAATAACGCAACCAACGATACAGGCTAGTGGTTTGAAGTCCCCACTGAGGTTTACAAATTACTTTGTCGCCATTTTTTCCGTGTCACGGATCCGTTCTGCTGTGTAAGAATCGGTTTTGCGGTTTTGCACAGTATAGGTACTGTTAGTGGTATTGATGGAGACATAGGTTCTAGGGATCCCCCCCCCCCCCCTGTGCTTGGGGTGTCTACTGTGGCTTTCAAATTACCTTTGCATTCCAAACTGGTTTTTGAAACATGCTACTTACTGGCATAAGCGAAAGAATATTGCAAGAAGTCAGGTGTTTCCCCGTCGCGTCGCCATAAAACTCCCTCTGACCATCCTCCCTCTCCCCTTCTCTCTCTCTCTCTCCTGTCACTTTCTCCCCCCCCCCCCCCCCCTCTGCACGGTGCCGTCGACAGTCGTGGCGGCGGATTCGGAGCCGCCGGCTGAGGACGCCGACGAGGCCGGCGGACAGGACACCGGTGACGAACAGCCTTCGGAGGAGGATGCCGACGCCCCGGACCAGCCGGCTGACGCGGAGGCGGCCGACGCCGAGGGCGACGGCGGGGGGTGGCGGCGAGCCGGCGGAGCCCGAGGAGGAGGACCCGGAAATACTGGCCAAGAGACAAGCGGTCAAGGACATGATGCTGGAGGGAGAGGTTAGTCGAGGTTACATTTGGAAAGCAAATGCAGGGGATTCCAACATATGTAGATGAATGTTGAGTGTAACTCACATTGGCACAGGTAAAGTGCGATAAAAACCAATTTTGGAGCCGGTGCTTTGCATGTCTTACCAAATGCCTAGCGTTAGGGTTAATGTGCAGCATTTTCGGAAGGTGAAGGTCGCATGGCATCCACGGGCTCCCTCTCTCTCCCCTCCCTCTTACACCATGCACATTGGCTCGTAATCGCGTTAGCACGTCCAGCGCGGCGCGTTTAATGGAGTGACGGTGCAGGTTGGCAATTTTACGTGCAATTTTAACGTGCAGGTGCAACTTTATGCGATCCGTGTGTGCCCGGCAGTGCGCCCTGGTCGCCATCTTGGACTCGGAATACAGCGAAGACAAACCCTACCGCTGGCTCACCCTGTACCTGGGCCAAGCACCAGCGCCGCCTCCCGAGATCCAGCTGGAAGCTGAAGTTGCGCCGGCCGCCGCTGGAGGGCAGGAGGGTGGTGACCAGTCAGCGGATGGCGAGGCGGCCGAGAGCGGAGAGGAGGGCGAGGATGGTGCAGCGGAGGAGGAGCCGCCAGCGGAGGAGCCGCCAGCGGAGGATGCACCAGCGGAGGAGGCTCCAGCGGAGGAGGCTCCAGCAGATGAGGCACCAGCGGAGGAAGCGCCAGCGGAGGAAGAGGAGGGCGAGCCCCTGCCGACCATCGAAGAGCAGCTGCAGGAGCTGCTGGAGGACCTCAGTCCTGCCGCGTGGACACCTCCTACCGTGCTCGGTCAGGTGAGGCTCAGCTGGCGCGCGTTTGGCCGTGCCATGCCTGACAGTATGACTGACTAACGTTTCTTCCTAGAAACGTCAAACTGGCCATGCATGAAGTTGGGCTGTGATGGTGGGGGGTGGGGGGGGGGGGTGCCTGCGCCCCTTCGCACGCATCTGCCGCGCCCATCAGACGATGCGGTAGACTCCGGTGGGCGACGCCGAGGCCAGAGTGCTGGTGACGATGCTGACTACACAACTGGGTGAGAACCAGAACCTCCAGGTCTGCGACGCTGCTCCGGCAAACTGGGCCCCCGGCGCCGCCTGTCGCGCCCTCCCGCCCTGGGCTGCTCGCGGTCAGTACGCCGCCCGGCGGCGTGACGCGTTGTGTCCGCGCGTCGCAGTGGGCCGCCCTGCGCAAGTACTTCCCCGAGCTGTACCGGGCGGCGCCGGCGCCGCCGGCGGAGCAGGTGGCGTTCGTCATCTTCCCGGCCAGCCGCGAGGAGGCGCCGCAGCTGCTCCTCGACGCCGGGTTCCGCGTCCTGCACTCGGGCTCCGACGCCCTCATAGAGGAGGTACGCTGATGCCTCGAGAACTGCGGCTGGCTTATGTGGAGAACCCTCCGTTTGGCTGCTGAGTGAGTTGTTTGTTCGGGGGAAAGACCTGTTTTGCTTATGAACTCGTGGTCACAGCACTAGCCGTTTGATTCTGCGAGCTTTGGAAACACGGGTCTTTGCCAGGAGTGGACAATGCTGATTGAACATTCTCGTGTCTTTTATGAACATTCTCGTGTCATTTATGAACATTCTCGTGTCATTCATTGAGCATCTCCATGGCATTCATGAGCATTCCTTCGTGAACGTTCTTTCCAAAACTTCACAACTCTGCAAGATTTGGCTTCCTTCAGCAGGATCCTGTCTCTGCTCACCCTTTATTCGCGGCAAAGATGAAAATATGACGGCCACCACCGTCACACAGATGCGAACACTCGAACCAGACCCATCATGTTAGCATCATCCGGCGAACGGTATCCCTCCGTGGCGCCGACTGTTCCGACCAGACGCGTCCCGGGCCGCACCGCCGGCCCGGTCGCCGCGCCGAGCGGCCGGTCGCCAGGCGCGGATCGGCCCCGTGGCGCGCAGCCCACAGGCAGCCGCTATCGCCCCGCCGCGCCCTGCCGCGCCGCGCCGCGCCGCGCCCCGCCCCGCCCCGCCGCGCCGCGCCGCCGCCAGGCGCCGAGCGCTCCGCGGCGCGCACCTGGCAGACGGCCGTCACCGCCCCGCCCCGCGCGCCGCCGCCAGGTAGCCGAGCAGCTGGTGGCCAGCCTGGAGGGCGGCCAGAGCCAGATCCCAGAGCTGGTGGCGGAGCCGGTGTACGCGGTGGCACTGGCGTGCGCCGGCGACGCCGCCCTCTCCGCCATGGTCAACATGGACCCGCTCTACCTGTCCGACGGCCCCGGTGTGAGTGGGGACGCGGCGGCGAGCCGCTCTGGACCGGGCGCAGGGCAGACACGGCAGGACTCCCTCGCTGGACTGCCGCCAGTTAATGTACCCGAGACTGAGAGAAATGTGTGTGCCCTAGTATTTAAACTCGTGTTGGAAACCCAGGAAGTTGCATTGGAAACGCAGGAAGTGTGGGACCTGGATTTCAGCGGCCGTTGTTTGATGCCTGTAGACGTAGTGTGTCAGTACAAGCTCTCGGGCTCGCCCGTGTAGCGTAGAGGACACTGTGCTAGTGCGACATGTGCGCTGTGTTATTGTTGTACGCCCAGTGAGCAAGCCTGTAAAAACCGCACACCCGTCATGAAATTCCTCTGTCGTCCCCAGCTCAAGCCGACCTGGACGCCAAGCTGGTGTTTGCCTCTTGGGGTGTCGAGATCGACACTCTGCTGGCCCCACCTGCAGAGGGCGCACCACCAGCGGAGGGTGCTGCTGAGGGGGCGCCGCCGGCGGAGGGTGCTGCCGAGGGGGCGCCGCCGGCGGAGGGTGCTGCCGAGGGGGCGCCGCCGGCGGAGGGTGCTGCTGAAGGAGCGCCGCCGGCGGAGGGTGCTGCTGAAGGAGCGCCGCCGGCGGAGGGTGCTGCTGAAGGAGCGCCGCCGGCGGAGGGTGCTGCCGAGGGGGCGCCGCCGGCGGAGGGTGCTGCCGAGGGGGCGCCGCCGGCGGAGGGTGCTGCAGAGGGGGCGCCGCCGGTGGAGGGGGCGCCATCGGCGGAGGGTGCTGCCGAGGAGGCGCCGCCGGTGGAAGGTGCTGCTGAGGGGGCGCCGCCGGCAGATGGTGCTGCCGAGGGGGCGCCACCTGCGGAGGATGCTGCCGAGGGGGCGGCGCCGGCAGATGAAACCGATGCAACGGAGGGTGCCACAGACGCAACACCAGCCGCTGAAGGAACTCCTCCGGAAGGCGCTGCCATAGCAGAGGAGGCTCCAGCAGAGCAAGCTCCAGCAGAAGCTCCAGCAGAAGGGTCTCCAGCAGAAGAGGCTCCAGCAGAAGAGGCTCCAGCAGAAGAGGCTCCAGCAGAAGTTCCAGCAGAGGAGGCCCCAGCAGAGGAAGCTCCAGCAAAGGAAGCCCCAGCAGAGGAGGCCTCAGCAGAAGAAGCCCCAGCAGAGGAAGCTCCAGCAGAGGAAGCTCCAGCAGAGGAAGCTCCAGCAGAAGAAGCCCCAGCAGAGGAAGCCCCAGCAGAGGAAGCTTCAGCAGAAGAGGCCCCAGCAGAGGAAGCTCCAACAGAGGAAGCTCCAGCGGAGGAAGCTCCAGCAGAGGGAGCTCCAGCAGAGAAGGCCCCAGCAGAGGAGGCTCCAGCGGCCGAATAAATGTGGTGGTAAGCACAACTCCTATATGATATACCACTTGTGGGAAGGGGGATGAGTGGAGGCAGATAGTGCAATACTCATATACTCAGCAGTATTTTGTCCTCCACCTGGCGCCGTGCCTGCGTCTCCTTCCCTCCTTTGTGCGTTGAGCACGCGCAACTCAGAGCGCGCCGCGCAGGGCCGGATTGGCAGGAGATATCACCCGCCCCAGCCGCTGCCGGTACCTCGTGCTGTGGGGGAGGGAGCGGCCCCGAGAGCACCTCGCTGGCGGAGGCTGAGTACCCGCAGAGCCGGCTGTCTGCAGTGACGAAGGCAGGGCAGCTGGATGCGCGTGTTGGTTGCCATCTTTAGTGTATGCTTCTGCTTACATGTCGGCACGAGTGATCCACCAATGATTTGGTTGACTCGGTTACGACTCCTTTTCGCTCAGAACTCATGCTGAAAGGAATTTGTTTCACTTTGACTAAGGGAAAACTCGCAAACTGTGGGGCTGACTAAAAGTTCACATGAAGTCACTCACAAACTAGCTGTATCTCCAAGCGTTCCACGCAAGTGTCCTGAATTGCCGTCTTTTTCTGCCCCAGTTTGAGCATATTCATAAACTTGGTCACTCAGCATCTCCGATGAGGTTTATTTTATTGCGAAGGCCTTTAACACAGCTAACATCACTTCAAACGAGATAAATCGAATAGAATTCACAACTTTGTCAGGACGTGCAGCGATAACAAAATATCACTTTGACCACCGAAATAGAGGGCACTGCGAATGCCACCCCCGATAACACTAGGCGTCCTCGCAAAACGCTCGCACCCATGTCACGTGGCACATAGCGCGGTAAAGAAGCTAGGGGTAGGGCACTGAATGCGCTTTGGAGGGCGCCAGCTCACCCAAACTGCCCGCTGCCCGGCCCGGACGGGGCGGACCCGACGGGCCCCGCGGGCGCCGACGCAGGAAGAAGTGCGGTCAACACGGTCCGCGCGTGGCCGGCACGCTGCCTGGCCAGGACATCACTCGGGGCCGGACGACACGCAATCAAACGTCAGTCGAGCGTCACGAGGTCGTCACACCGTCACGCAACACCTGCCCCACCCCCACCCCCCCCCCCCCCCCGCCGCCGTCCGAGACGTACCTGCGGGCTCCCTCTTGGCCTCCGCTGAGATGGTGACGTCATCATCCGCCCCTGGGGAAAAGGCCAGCTATCGCCTGGCAGCGGCGTGGACGGACGCTGGCCGACAGCGTCTGCCGCCGCCAAGTATTAACGTCGGTGTCGCCGATAGATGTCGCCACTGGCGGTTGCGGCAACGCACAGGAGCGTGTTCAAGGCATCAGACCGTCCCGTCAGTGCATTAGAGCGAAGCTGACGATCGACTGGCGGTCCTCGGACTTGGATCGCTTCCGCACGCTCCGCCTCCTGCTCGTCTGCGTGCCGTTGATGGACGGCACTGAAACGCAGGGCAACGCCGGCTAGAGACGGCCAGTTGCATCTGCATCAGCCAAAGCATCTGCCACAAACAAAAACATATCGAACGGACCCAGAACGTTGTTCCTTGGATACCATATGCTGTAAACACCGCACGACGCACACTAGACCATACACGTACTCCCTCCACCAAACAAACTTGCATGCATGCTTGCTCTCCAAATCTGCGTATCGCAAATATGCCTCCTCTCACAGACCATCACAATAAGATTTCCTCTCATGCACCACATCGTCCTGTCTGACATCAGCCCACATCTCACTGCGCGCAGCTTCCCTATTCCAAGCACTATTAGACGTGTTCCCCTTTCTAAGGTCCATGGTATGTGCCTCCCCTCTCTCACATCCCGTTACATACGAACCTTACCTTTCATATCCCACCTGGTACTCATCTTCTTTCCATTCACCCCACATTCCACTTCGCACACGTCTCAGGTCGCTACAGCCAAGTTCTGAGATAGGCCTGAGGGGCTCCGTGGAGACTGCCATCCCCGTCTGCCTCCCTGTCGCAGCCGCCGCTGGCTCTCAGCCTCTTCGTTCTCTTGGCCCCGCTTTTGCCCCAGCCTTTTCCATGCTCTGACCCTTTCCAAACTCTTGTGAACTGTCAGGCATCGCACTTGGTGCTAGCGCCTCTGGCCTACCAGAACGCCTAATCTAATGTAATTTGTGATGCAACGGCACATGCCATTCACCTAGGCGCAAACAGAAATTCACTTATCTTTATCTTTAGCCCGCAGCATAACAAAGCATTCCACTTCATCTTTCGTAGATTTGGGAACAAAACAGCATCACTTATTGTCTTTCAAAATGCGCGTCCACGCGATATTTGTCCACGAATTTGATGACCAAGAGAGGAGACATTTGCGCCGTTTACTCGGCACGTAACGGTACGCGTCTCCCCCCCCCCCCCCCCCCCCAACAGGAACTCACCCACACCCTCCATCTCCCCCTCCACACACGTATACGCACGCACGCACACACGCACGCACGCACGCACGCACGCACGACCCTCTGCCGCAGCCGTGCCGGCGGCGGCGGCGGGTATACTGACGCGTCTTGACGCCGTTGTCTCGCGCTACGGAGGCGCGTCGCCGGCCGCCGGCCGCCTGCCGGACGGACGGCAGGCGGGAGTCGTCAAACTCGTCGTCCGACTGCACCATCGACTGGCGGCGCCGGCTGGACCTGGCCAACACAGAGCAGGGGCGGGTGACGTCACAACGGAGGTGGGTGACGTCACAGTGTGGTCCGAACCCACCACAGCGACGCAGGAGTATGGGAGGAGGCAGGGAAGCTACTCCATCCCTCCAGTTGTGTCCGATTTCACAGTTTCGGAAAAAGTCACTGGGGTGAGTGGAGCAAGGTGCTGGCGACGTCACCTTGCCTATTGGGTGCTGCGAACAAGAGGCTCTGCTGCAGGTCAGATGTTTTTTTTTAATCGCGCTGAGGTTCTTAAGCCCCTTCTTTCAACGCAGAAGGTCGTCGTAGGTGTAATAATTTATACCGTAAGAGTTACACAAGCTCCTTTCTTTCCTCTTTACGACCTAGACCGCGATCGCGACCGAAGTATCATCTAATAAAAGGCTTCCAGCGCGTATCGTTACCGGCAGCGAACAACCCTTGTTTCCCACATCTGACGTCAGTTTCTGCCGCGGCCGGGGCGCCACCGGCAGGCGCTCACCTGGTGCGACGGTCGGCGTGCCGCATCTCGGTCAGCAGGGAGGAGCGCCGGCCGGCACCGGTCGCCGACTCCAGGTCACCCGAGCTGCCCCAGCGACGCATTCCGCTCCTGTGGACACGCACTTCCGCCATCAGACCAAGCGCCGGTGGGGGTGCACCACGCAGGGGGGAAGGGGGCACCGAAATACGCAGGCGGCTCTGTTAGGTCAACGTGCCGGTCAGCCTGCTGGTCTTGACTGCTGACTGGGCGGATCATAGTAGCTGCATTGTTGGCGCCTGCACTGTTTCGAGTTCTAGCTCGGGGAGGAACCCAGACGTCAAAGTTTTGCGAGATCATGCGAATTGTCACTAAACTCTTGTGGAATGGCCCAGTAGGTGTAAATCTTGCGAAACAAAATAATCATGTGAAATAATAATACTAATAATAAAATATCGTGTGAAACTCTTGGCTCAGGAGGGCGAGAGTGGGGGGCAGGCCCCCTTCGCCCATCTGTTGGCTACGTCCCTGCTGTGTGGCAGCTGACGCGTCACAAAGTGCGTGTTGTACGAACGGCCACTGAGGCACACCTGCCACCACTCACTCACCCATTAGCGAAGCTGCCGCGTCGGCTTGTGTTGCCCTCATCCATGGACCCTGGTCGCCTACTTCCGCGCCGTCTTCGCCTGCGGACGTCGCAAGACATTGCTGAAATCCCGGTTACGATCGGGACTTTTACAGCAGTGGCTTGGTCGGGGAGAGCTGAAGCGTGGACCGCCTCCCTGAGACTCTCGAGAGGCTCAGGAGAGGCCACTCTGGTGAACAGGGGTGTAATTGGGGCCCCAGTCCCCCTTCCCACTCCATCTGCATCCTAGTGTGAAAACTCCCACGATGTGGAATGTTTTGTTGTTTTTAGACAGATTGGATTTCTGGAACACCCCGAGGGGCTTCGAGAGGACAAGGGCCTGTGGCGGCTGGGGGCCGTAAGTGATCGGGGGGCCCGAAAAGATCGGGGTTCCTGAGATGGTCAGAAGACCGGAGACCACCAGAGGCCTTCCCTGGCTGATCGTGGCTGATCTAGGAGGCCTGCATGGTTGGTGAATGGTCACAGTGGTAGTAGCGATGACTCGTTGATGCTGCCAGGGTCGATCATGTGCCTGACAGGACCCTGGTCACAGGTAGAGGGCCGTTGGAGACCGGTCACGGACCCTCGGAACTGACAAGATCCTGGCCACAGGTGAAGGGCCCCTGGAGATCGGCCACGGACCCCTGGAACTGACAGGACCCTGGCGACAGGTGAAGGGCTGTTGGAGACCGGTCACGGATCCTCAGAACTGTCAGGATCCTGGCCACAGGTGAAGGGCTGTTGGAGACCGGTCACGGATCCTTGAAACTGTCAGGACCCTGGCCACAGGTGAAGGGCTGTTGGAGGCCTGTCACGGAACCCTGGAACTGACAGGACCCTGGCCACAGGTGAAGGGCTGTTGGGGATCGGTCACGGGCCCCTGGGCCTGCTGGACGTATCTGGGCACGAAATACAGAGCGGCCAAATGCTCGTGGACATCAACAAATGGCTATAAACAAACAAGACACGTGTCAAAACTAGAAAGGGCATACTGCCTGCAGAAGTAACCAAAACGCTTCTGAAAAAGGGTGCAAGATAATAGATACGAACACTTATCGAAAACTGGAGCATCTGCCTTCAAGGCCGGCCGCAAAATGTAGCTTGGCAGAATCCCTCTTAACGTATCCGTGTGCAGCCAGCGCTTTAAACTGGTCCAAAATGAATAACCGCTGCATGCCCACGCCTGGTTGAAAATACTATGGTGGAATTTGATTCACCCTACACGCCCTTTCGGACGTTGACAGAAAACACGTTAGGAATGTTGGTCAATCAGAAATCACTGAGTGGACATCTGCTTCCAAAGCATGATAAATGTATTATGTCTCACGACGCACCTGATTTTTACGGTCATACATCAACACTGTAATCAGTACGGCAACCGAAGCACGCGACCCAAAAAACTGCCGGTGGCGGGTCCCGATCCCGCGACACCGCCGGTCACAGGCCCACAACCCTCACCTGCCGGCTACTGACTGAATGCCGTGCACGCTGTCGCGCATCTCGCGCCGGTCAGCTGACGAGGGTGGCGAGTCGGGCGACCTGCTGATCCGGATCGGAGGCAGGCGGAGGGGCGAGGCGGCGGAGCTGGGCACAGAGCTGTGGCCGGCCCGCGCGCGCCGTCAGAGCGGCGCCGGACAGCGGAACAGCGACGCCGAGGGGTGGGGAGGGGCGCCCGAGGCCGGACAGCGGGCGGGCGGCGGAGCTCGCGCGGCAAAAGCGGCGAAAACGTGAGCAAGCACGGCAGACAAGGACTCGTAAAGGTAGAAACTGAATGGGTGAGCGAAAATCGAAGCCAGGAACACAACCAGCTAACGTGCAGAGCGGTTGTTGTAA